GGTTTTCCCCTTGATTTTTTTTTTCTAGTTTTTATAACCGTATCGATTTCATTTCTGCGATTTCTAACTCATTTTTTTATAGCTACTTTTGTTCTATTTCAAACTCTTTTTGTTTCAGAGTTTCTTGTTCTTTAATTATAGGTGTTGGTTTTTTCTTTGTCTTTCTAATGATCTCAGGTGTATTTAAGTTAAGGTCATTTTCAGATTGCTCTACTTAGCTTTTGTTTCAGACGAGTACATTTCTCTCTCAATTGTTGAGTTGTCTTTTGTTAGGATTTATATTCCTCGTGTGTTTTGAAATTTTAGATTGTACTCTCATCTGGAGTGGGAGGTGCTTGTTCTTTGCTTATTTTCCCTGCTTTGTTCTCTGCTCTTGGCTCTTCCTCTTTAACGGCTTTGCAGTGACTTCCCCCTGAACTCCGTGTCTTCTGTCCAGATTGTATTGTCTGGTCAGGGTCACCCATGGAGAAGCTGTGGCTCTCAGAGACGCAGCAGGAGGTGGAGCGGTGTTCCTGACTGCCGTGATATGTCTGATTTCTTGGCCCCAGCACCAGTTGGCGATAGCATTTTCCAACCTTTTACAAGGAGGGAGAATGCCCTCTTTGTTACTGATTTCAGGTAGAATCCTAGCTATGGTACCCTTCACGCAGGACACCTTTTGCTGTCTGTGCCCTCCTGGGGGTGGAGCTTGTCACGCATCTGGACCAGAATGCAGGAGATCTGTAGCTTCAGCCCCACTTACTACCTTTTAGTAGTAGGCATTCAAAACGTGACTAACTTAAGTCAGAGAAAAAAAATGGTAAAAACATACATTCCACTTCTACAGTATGATTGGCACTTTTTTTTTCAAAGTAGGGATGAAAACTAGACAATAGCCGTTATTTCCTCCAAAATAAAGATCATGAATGTGAAGGGACACTGTTTGGGTCCCTATCAAAAGAAGCAGCAAGCTAAAGATAAGGAAAATATTTTTTTTCCATTTTCAGAGTATAATTTGTTCACAGACAAAAATAAAACTATTATCAGCTGATTCCTTCAGATGAGAGAGTAAGCTGTCAAGTGCTTACCATCTGGTTCAGCTCCTAATCCAGATGGGCTGCCAATAGTAATTTATGAAAGGTTTGAAAGCAACTTGCCATCCTCCGGAAAGAATCATTAGAACACATTAACATTGAGATTGGCGCCCCTCCCCCAGCCCCAATTTGCAACAGATGCAGAGATGGGGCAACTGCTTCCGTTCAACAAATAGAACCGTCTATTTTTGAGCCAGGAGTCAATATGTCTCTGCTCTTTAGAAAAAATAAGTCAAGCATTTTTCTTCCCCCTTTCCTCTCCTCTACTGGCTCAGTGAGTAGGGGAGAAAGTGCTCCCATGATGGAATTTCTAACAAATGTCTGAAGAAGCCCTCACAGTCTGTCATTTCTGAGTATCGGTGGTGCTTGGAAAAGTCAAAGTCAGCATCAGGAATAATCTGGTGTACTTCATGTCCATGCCACAGGCAGGCACCATCTAATCCATTCGTATAGGAAAACCCAGAGATCAATCAGTATGTACAATGCAAGTTGTAGAGCCACAGACTGTTAGACCCAGAAGTCCATTGTTAACCCCTCTCCCAGCCAGTGAGGCCGTACATGAGCAGATGGCTTCAGAGTCAGAACGAAATGACAGGGTACTTCGTCCAATCAAGTTCTGTTACCTGCCCTCTGTTCTTGCCCTATCATTCAGTTAATATACCTGGGAAGGAATAAGACTCATTCCTGAGTGACTGATGGAATTCTAGTAATTTATTTTCAGTTCATGTAAGAATTGCTGGCACAGAGTGAGGTCGTATTTTTCCTTTGATCAAACCATCTGCTTTTCAGGCTCTGAGAAAATTGCCAATATGCATGCTATACATGTTTTAAAATGTTCTGGAATGTTCAAAAGAAGAGTCTGGAATCAGTGTTTAATATTCCTAACTGAAACTGAGGGAATCAGGATTGGTTGTAACGTGCACATTAGGTTTTTTAGTAAAAAAGAACTGTGGGAGGGAGGGAGTGGCCCTGGGGTTAGAGGTGTGACAGATATATGCCCATTGGGAATCAGGGAGAGGGAAGAGATTACTGCCTGATCAGACAGATGATCTAGCTGACACTGGGGAAAGAAAACCAGAGCTGGCTAGGGTAAGCAAGATAATTCAGAACTCCTTGTACTGAGGAAGGGGTCTAAGTCACAAGTAAGAGTAGAGTGTACCCTGGACGGGCAATAACACACAGCCAAACAAGGCGATTCAGTGGTCCGCTCTGAGGCTTTAAATAGAGGAGGTCCCACTCAACCTAATGATAAATGCCAAACGTCCAAGAAGAAATTGGTCAGTCTTCTGTAAGTGAGCAAAGGGCAAAGTCATCATTGTTTAAAAACTACTGGAGACTTCACTGGTGACATTTTTATACAGTAACTCTCTGTGCATATGTTCTTAAATCTATATCTTCTTTTCCCTTAAATTTTGATTAAAGTGTATTTTATTTAATTTGAAAATATGCATTAATCCACTAACAAGTCTATGTGCTCAGGGCTACAGAGGATATATGAATGAAAAGAATGTTGTCCTTTCCCTTAGAGAATTTACAATGTGGGGCACTTGTGTGGCTCAGGGTTTTAAGCACCCGACTCTTGATTTCAGCTGGGGTCATGATCTCAGGGTTGTGAGATTGAGCCCTGCATCGGGCTCCATTATTCTCTTTCACCCTCTCCCTCTGCCCCTCCAGCCCCCCTTAAAAAAAATTTACAATGCAATAGATATATATGATAAGGCACAAATCATCACAAAATGAGACCCAACCTCCTAGGTCATTGAAAAATTGAAAAGGAGTCATCCTTCCAAAGACACAGAGAGATTGCATTTGCTTGGTTGTGATTCATCTAAATTAAAATTGTAAGTTGCTAAAGAGCAATATTTTCACAAAAGGAATGCTTGATCTGGTTTTGTTTCCCCATTTTCTGTTCGCTGCTGGAAGGCGCCTTTAAAAAACATGAAGTTGGACAAGTGTCCCTCTAGTGGTCACTTCGCAAACTACAGGCAGATATTGCTTTGGAGAAGCCCGCCAATTTCAAAAGAACATGCCAGTCAGGCTAATCCTGTTTCCATTAACAGTCAACTCGAGTGAAGGTGAAATCTTAGAGGACGAATACCTTCCCATCCCATCATGTGTCAAGAGTGTGGACTCGGAGATCAGATGAACAGGTTCAAATCCTGGCTCTGCCACTTAATAATGGTGACCTGGGCAAGTTACTGAGCCTTTCGTACCTCGGTTTGCTCATCGACAAAATGGAGATAACAATTACACCCAGATGATAGGGTAGTAATGAGAATTAGAAAAGAGACTATTTAAAACATTAAAAATGCTGCCTTGCCACACTAGCGCTCATTGTTTTTAGAAAATGTTTACTTTCACTAACTGTTCTCTCTATCTTCTTTCCACATTGCAGCTACTTCACTTTTCTTTGTTACTGGTCTTTCTCATTCCAGATTTGCATATTCTACAGAGAACTTGGAACTTATAATACATAGGACACCTGAGCTTTTAAGTGCTTTTTTAGTATATCATGTCCCAAAGTCTAAAATCTAACCAAAATACGATTGGTATTACCAATACACTGCTTTTATTTACAAAATTTGTGGATTTAAGTATCACTAGAAGTATTTCTGTAAAACCCTCCTGATTTCTTGATTATACTTTTCAACATCCCTGAGCTATTAAAATACAAAACTAATTGTTGTAAGCGTAGCATCTGTGGAACACTATGTGTCAGGAGTAAGATTCCTCACAGTGGTTTCATTTTCTCTCCCCAGTTAAACTTCTCTGGGGGCTCCAGTGGTACCCACAGGACACACATGAATCCCACACACATCCGACAAGATTCTCAAGCTGCCTGATGAATTCTCACCCCTTTGGCAGCTTTATTGTCATTCCTGTGAAGTTACTTTACCTCTCAGTCATATGAGATCTTGCCCTCATTTCATTACTAATTAAATTCATTTTTAAAGAGTCATAAATTAATTATTTGAGGTAAAATTACTGAAATCTGTACCTCACTCCAAGATCTTTTTTAACTTTGGGTAATTAAATTTCAGAGTTATCATGTTAATCTTTATTAGTATTTGAAGGAAATGACTGACACAAAATTGAAGGCTTCAATTTCTTATGTAGTAGGAGAGGCTCTGTCTTAGGGGTTGGACAAATTAAAAGGTGCTCGTTCCACCAGCAACCTCCCTTCATTGTCTTGCATGGCTGGTGGGCCTACATTGGACATGGGTAGGAAACTTGCTAATTTATCTTTAGACCAGAGCAAATGGGATCTGACTCTCTAAGGTCATGTGTTGTTCTAAAGGCATGTGCGTTTTATGAGCTTTCATGTCACTTTTCTCTTTCTCATGAGAGGTAAAAAATGACAATGTGAGACTCAGTCTCTATTTTTATGAACAAGTACATTAGATTCCTAATTGTTGGTGATAACTTGGTTTTCACTTAATGAATATAGCCTTGAGCATTTGTCATCATCGAGAACAAGGAACTTAGTGTTACATAAATATTTTACCCTATTGGATTAGTAAATGTTTTGTTAATTGGCTGATCCACATTTCTATTCAAAGAGCATCTTTAGATAAATGAAGCTTTTGAATCACACCCCCAGGAAAACTCTTGGCAAACATACTGTTCTTTTTGCCATAGGGTTCTCAAAGTATCTTAGAGAAATATTAAAAAGTAAACCTTTAGAAAAGAAGACTGGACCAATTTGCAAAAACCCATAACTCATCTTTTCCCGCAGGACTGACTGACTGATTGAAACAAGGGAACATAATTTAATGTTACTTAACTTCTGTATCCTAAAGCCTAAAGCTTGGTAACTTTTATCGACTCATCCCTATCATGAAAGAGCAGACCCACTTTGAATATTCCCTGTTCCTGGGGCTTCCCTATCAGGGCAGGGTGAACTAACAGCTGACTTGTTCCATTCAGCTCTCTGGTAACTGGAGTCCACGAGATGATGGGATGCATTCGGAGGCGAGTGGACCAACTGACCCAACAGTGTTCAGCGCACAAAGAATTTGCTCTTAAGAAACAGCAATTAACTGCCTTGGTGGAGGACCACCTCAAGAAGGTAGTCTCTTAAATGTGCTCTCCGTTGGCTGCTACTTAGATGCAGCTCCTTCCTTGGTGATACTAGACGAGGTGATACAGCACCTGCAGCATGGGGCATGGTGGGAGGATAGTGGCACATCTCCTTTGGCTTCCCTTAGGTTCCACATTGGATTTTATCATTGAACAGCATAGAGTTATAGTTCACTATTGCTCAGCAACCATTCCTGTCCCAGGTTGCTAAAACTTGCTGTGTAATCCTCCCTGTCACACCAGCCAGCCCTGAACACGTACACCCAAATGTAGTTCTTGCTTTGCATAGAACTGAACTGTGTGCACATTGGGACTGTGTCCTTGTTTTATGTGGGCCTGTGCCGGGTTCCAAGTATGCACATATTTCAGTTAACATGGTATCATACAACATGAGGATGGCACATAAATACCAAAAATGATGTTTTAGGGATTTCCAGGGATAAGTTGTCATTATCATACTTTATTGAGGGAGGTCAGCACAAAGGACGTGGTCATTCCAAATAAAAACATACATGTGAAAATCCTCTTTCTGCAGAGTGGATACAATGACTCAGTACAGGAGAAATTTATTTCCTCTTTTCAAAGAGGAATAAAACCAGGCAGCTGCTGTTTGGCTAAGTAAAAAATTGCTTACTGTAGCTGGGATATACAGCGAAAACTAGCTCGGGGACATTAATGCTAATGAACCTTGATGCCCCTGCTGGGTCTCAGATTTTCAATGATGTCTTCATCTGATACAGTGGACTCATATGCCTGGCTTAAACAAGTAGAATTAGTAGACTTCACGGGAGAGGACGTTAAATAACCACGTCTCTATCCACATTGCCCTCCCACCTGTTATTGATCCTGAAACTTGGGAATCTGAGACTTGTTCCGAAGCCTGGCTCCAGGGAGAGTCCAAATATGGCAGCAGTTGCAGAGCCACATTCCCTGGAGCTTGAGACTCAAGCTAATTTGGTGGTGGTGGACAACACAGTAGGAACTCAGACAACTGTTGCTCCTTGTCTTACTGCCAATTCAGAGCCAACTTGCCTGTGGGAGGTATGGGCCCTGGTGAGAGCCAGAAGATGAAGAATGTAACTTGGATGTTATAGAACCCTTTAAAGATTACTTTCTCATTGATTCGTGTGTACTAAAAATCAAATCATAGTCCCCCACATTCATCAATTACATGGCCCATGTGGGTCCCTGTGTTTTACTGTCACATGTACAGGGTTTGGTACTGCCCCAGGGCTCCTAAACGTAGCAACCTCCAGGGTGATTTAATACCCAGGCTTTGGACCTTTACTTCAAGATGTGCCTTTACTGGGCCCCCTTCAACTTACAGTGGATGATTATGAGTTAATTAATCAGATAAATTCATTTCTGCTGATGTGTTAGCAAGTGCATTATCTTTTCTAGGTAATATAGGTGATAAATTCTTAGAAGATGTGGATGATTGTTTATATCTCATTGCTGTTAATAAAATATATGTCTGTTAATAAATATATGTCTTTAAACATATACCCTGGGTATATGGTGGGTCAGTAGCATTACCTCATATGAAGAGCAACATAATTAATTTTAACATGACATTCTAAAATATTTAAAACTATTTTTAGATGGAAATTGGTATATCCATTTAAAGTACAATGGGAATAGAGAGAGTAGTATTTATCTTTTCTATACATATGCAGACATGTATGCAAATACATGTTTTACTAAGACTGCAATATATTCTTTATTGCTAAAGGTGGAAATGTCAATTCAGAAAATCAGTCCAGTACTTTCCAGTGCAATGGATGTTGGTTCCAGCCTTTCTGAATCAGGGAAGATTTTGAGTAAATACTTGGAACTAGATATGGAAACTAAGGTAAACTAAATAGGAATTATTATTGTGGTTATGATTTTGTAAATATGACTTCTTTTCTTTATATTCAGTGGCTATAAAACTTAATGCTAGCTCTCTTGAGGGTTGTAATTCTAAATTAATATTGTGGTAAATAATGACTTAAAACTTCTATTATGTGTATCTAAATTATTTATACTTATATGTGCACTTATTAGGGTGTTTGAGTTCACTGAAACTTTGTAACCTGGTATTAAACACTCATCTGGCCCCTTTTCCTTGCCTGGGAGATGTCAGCATCTCCTTTTGGGATGCCACAGGACGCAGGGAGAGTGTTTTTCTAAGACTATTTGTGATTTTCTGCTAGAGTAAGTTACAAAAGAAAATTCCCAGAAGCAATATGCATTAATGCAGGATTCCAGGAAGCAAATAAAAAACACAATCTTGCTGCAAGCCCAATGTTCAGGGACAGAAAATACCCTCCTCTTCCCGGCACTTTCTCTGGCTCCTCCTCACCCCTTTTCCCCTGGGACTTAGGTTCAACTATTCCTGCTAGTAGTAGCTCCACATCTGCACTGAGTCCCAGCCAGCCCCAGCAGATGTTTACAAAGGTGAGTCTAGCAGCTGTCCCAGCTCACCCAAGTCAGTAGGCAATGGCCTTGTTATTCCATCGGTTCTCAGCCAGAGGACCTCCTTCATGTTTGGGAATTCATAGACAAACTGATTTTTTTTAATGGAATTTTTTTAACTCATTATTTCAGATGTTTAAAATAAAACATATGTATGAATTCAATTTCACTATTTTATTTTAAGAATTGTAGAAGGAGGGAGGAAATGGCACAGGGAGAAACTCCCCTCCTTCCTCCTACCCAGAGTGCTATCTGGAAGCAACACTTGGAAATGAAAATTAGCTTCATTCATTGGAGTACTTGGGAAGCATATTAAATACAAGCAGGGAAGCAATTCCTTCTTGCTGCAAATGACAGTGAAGCTTTTTTCTTTCATTTTTGCTTGATTCCTAGTTCAGTCTCACATAAAATTTTACATGGCTCTTTCTGTGGCAATTGTAGATGTAATGCCTACCATACCGGCTTATCCATTCTCTGTGAGATTTTACCTGCCAGAAATTACACTCAAAAGAAAACCCAGAAGAGCAACCCTGTGGGCTATTCAGATTTCATATAGAACATTTCCCCTACCCTTGTTCAAAAACCTTTCTAGATAGAGATTTAAGTAAGACTGTATAAGTGACATGCCATTTTTTATAAATTAAACAAGGAGTAAACAATTTCTATAAACTTGTCATCTCTTGTGTAACAAAATTAGTTTAAGAATTTGCTAGAGCTATTGTTAAATTTCAAAAAGCAATCCTCATATATAATTGTTAAATGAATTACTCAAAACATTTCTGCCATTTTGTTTTATAACTTTTCATACCAAACAGCCTTTCTTCTCTTTGTGACACACACAAAAAATAGAATGCTCCAAATGAAAAGCAGAGCTGGTAGAGTGAGAGAATAATTTGAGATGATTTTCATTTTAAGATTAATTTTTTTTGAAGTTTTGAAAGTTATGCCTTTCTTTCATTGAGGAGAGTTCTGGTACAAGTTCAATTAATAATTGTAATAGATGGATGTACAGAAGGTAATGAAATGTGAATGTTCATGATTCCCCTGTCAGCTTCTGACCCCCTGTGCTTTCCTTTCATAGGAGACAGCACATGAATTAGAAGCAGCTGCAAAACTTATGACAGAGAAAAATGAATTTGAACCTGACGAAGTGGCATTGCTTTCTTCTAAAGCTGAATGGCTAGAGGAAGAATTAAAAATACTTGGCCAAAGCATCGGCTCCAGGTCACAAGTCCTGCAAACTTATGTGGCATTTCTGAAGTCCTCAGAAGAGGTATGGTGCCCATGTGCTGACCTTCTTCAGCAAGGTGGTCTCTGCGCTTCTTCCTGCTTTCTCTGGGGTAGAAGCCCTGCTGGGTGGTCCTGTACCCTCCGCTCCCATGCGTGGACTCACTTACTGGCCCTTTATTCTCCAAGGCACCATACAAGGACTCAAAGAGTAGGTTGTTTTCCTAAAAAATAATGCAAGTGTTGGGTGTAGATATATTCACAAATAAGCAAGGTGGTTGTGTTGGAATGCTTTTTACTGTGGCCTACAAGCATTTATAATATCCTAAACAGAGAACAAAATTATTTAAAAATCAGTCATCTTCCACCATGAATCTCTTTGAATACCCAACAATTACTTCGATTCATTTAAAATACATACACAGAATCAGAAATTATCGGCTTTTGGGTCATCTCAGATCTCTCTTGTTTGATGCCTTTCAACAAGTTTACCTCGGAGAGCTTCTTCTGAGGCACTGTTTTGACAGGGTTGTACTAGAGAATCTGTGAAATTCCCTCTTGTGGACTACGGTTCCATCTCTCAGAGGTCCCAGTCTCTGGGAGATGGTATCAGTAATGGAAAAGGGCTAGGGTGCCACCTAGGAGCATGCACACTCTGCTGCTCTCGGGGAGGCGGGCACTGGCCTAGTGGGAGGTAGAGCCTACACGGTCCACTCCGGGGTAAAGCCAACCAAAGTTAGGGAGCATGCTCGAATTTTTCTCACCCCCACCCTGCCACTGCCATCCGTCCCCCCACCAGCCCACCAGTGTCCTGCCTAAGCACATCTCCTCTGTCAGCTCTCGTTCCATAATGTTCTGAATTCTCGCCCCTCGGGAGGAAGGCCATGCCCAGTCCCAGCAAATCTCAGGTAACCACTGCCCCTGTTCCATGTCTTTACTCTGCCTTTTGTCACCTAAACTTTTATTTAGTTTTTCTTGGCCCTGAACCCTTATGGTTTGGGAAAGGTATTGCAATTGACAGGATTATCCTGTTGAACATTTTTATTCGGAACTTGAAATGGTGGAGAAGGTACAAAGAAATGCTGTTTTCTTTGTCTTCATTGCCAAAAATGCACCTGCTTGGCTTCTAGTTCAGCATCTACTTCCATGGTCGGCTCTGGCCTTTGGGTCCAAGAGCCTCTCTAGGGCTGAACCTTAGCTTTGCAAGAAACACTTTCTCAGAAGAACCTCACATCCTTCCACCCTCCCTGCGTTCCCTAAATCTGTTTTGCTCCCTGGTAGAGGCTTCTGTCCTTCTCATCTTGGCTGTACTCTCAGTCTGTCACCCTCTGACCCTCTCGGGCTTTCCTTCTTTCTTCACCAGCTTTGGTTATTCATTTCCAACCCACTCCATCCCGTCATCACCCTGCCGTCCACCCTGACTCTCCCTGCCAATTCCCAATACCAGGCCAAACCAACGCCCCTGTTTACTCAGCTTTCAGACACTCCTACGGAAAATCATACAGTTGTGCTGATTGGCACTGTTCCAGTGTATGGGTCTCTGCCTCTGCCGGGATCCCCGTACACTCCCTTGTTGGCGCCCATTCAGTAGTGATTCTCAAACAACTTACCCCAGTTTCCATCCCTAAATCTCAGCCAAGGCCCTTTCCTTGTATGTGACTGACACATATGACACAATAAAACGTTGGCCTCCTTCGATTTCCAAGCATATTGACACATGGCATCCCCCAGTTGCCAATAACATGAAGCCTTTATTTGTGCCCAACATGAATCAGCCGTCAGTCCCTCCCTGCACACTCCTATGCCCTTCAGAATCGAGCTTCAACTAGATCCATCCTCCACTTGTTCAAATCTGCTTTTTCCGTTGCTTCCTTCTTGTGGGTTTACAGCCATAGCCGATGGCGTTACCCTCACCAAGGCTGCCGCTCTGTTGTTGTCCTTCCCTTCGCACCTGCGCTCTCCGAACGGGAAGATGACACTTCTCACCTCTGACTGCCTGTCCTCCCCAAGCCTCACCCCGCTGCCTCTAGTGTATTCCCCCTTCAGTCCTGCCATTTACCACCCTTTCCCTCCATTGACATTGTCCTGATAAGCTACTTTGCTAGTTGACAAATGAGATGCTGTATTTTCAGTCCTCATCCCTGTTAATCTCTCTGCCACATTTAACTTCTTGCTCTCACCTCCTGTGACTTTTTAAAAGGCAGATTTGTTGAAGTACAATTTACATAGGATAAAATTCCCCTGTTTTAGAGTGTGAGGATTTTTAGTGTATTTATAGAACTGTGCAGGCATCACTACACTCCAGTGTTAGTATATTTCCATCACCCCAAATAGGGGCCCGCTGCATACTTTTAGTCTATCCTGGCTTCCACCCTGCAGCTTCAGGCAAGCACGGAAGTGCTTTCTGTCTCTGTAGATTTACCTTATTTGGATATCAACTTAAGTGGCATCATCTTGTCTACTTCTTTATCTGTTCCTTCTCCTTTCTCCTCATTTAGTTTTCTGTTTCTCCAGTGTGGTGAGTCAGGGAGCTCTCACTTGTGCTCTCCTTTGGACGTGCTATACACTTTCTATACAAAATCCACCCCTGCCTGTGGTTTTAATACACTAATAACTCAAAAATGATTCCTCAGCCCCCTCTCTTCCAAGCCCCAGACCAATGCTTTCAACTTCCAATCATACTAATTCCTTATATATCCTGTAGGCTCATAAAGCTCAACAAAACACAACCAGTTATCTGTTTTTCAAATGTGTTTTTCTTCTGTGTCTTGGCATTGGATTAATGACCCCATCAGTTTTCAGAAGTCCCATGTAGAAGCTTCAGAATCTTTTCCAAGACCTCTGTCAGTGAGCACTTGTTTTGTATGAGGCCCCATTCTTTTCGTTCCTGATTTCATTTATTTATTTAAAGATTTTATTCACTTATTCGAAAGTGAGAGAGAGAGCACAAGCAGCAGGGAGGGGTAGAGGGGGGAAGGAGAAGCAGACTCCGGGGAGGCTGAGGCAGTCTTAATCCCAGTACCCTCAGATGTGTAACCAACTGAGCCACCCAGGTGTCCTCATTCCTGTTTTCATTTAATCCTTATAACACCTCTATGTTTAGTTACTATTATTCCTCTTTTACAAATAAGGGAAACTGAGATTCTAAGAAGTTAGGGTATCCAAGATCAAACAGCTAGTAAATGTCAAAGCTGAAGTTTAATCCCTAGCCTCCTCCCTTTGGTCTTTTCCTGTATCGAAGGCCATGCTATCCCTGTTTATCTATAGGGACAACCTAAAAGATTTCTGAATTCCCCTTCCCCTCCACCTGAACCATCACTTCCTCAGTTCAAGCCCTCACCATCTCTTGCTCAGCTTAAAGAAGTTGTCTTCTGCCTGTTCTGCTTCCTGTAATTATCTGCTTCACGCCTTCCAAAAAATGGTCATTCTAAAGCAAATCTGATCATGTTACCTCTTGACATTCAGGTAATATGACAAATGTAATTTGTGAAACAAATTACAAATGACTTTTTTTTCAAATTATAAATAACTTTTACTAAAAATGGGTGATGGGTATTAAAGAGGGCACGTATTGAATGGAGCACTGGGTGTTATACACAAACAAGGAATCATGGAACACTACATCAAAAACTAATGATGTAATGTATGGTGATTAACATAACATAATAAAATTTTTAAAAAATGGATGAAGTATTGAAGTTTATCATTAATTCCCTTAAAGCATAAACTAGTACAGATTCAAGGGAATTCCCATAAATGGCATCATTCTCACTTGCATTCGTTTCTTTGAGCCATGGAAAAAGAGGATGAATTAAAATTTATGTTTTGAGAGTTGCCCATAACCAACAGCCCATCAAATTGACACCTCAGCCTGTAGCGTACAAGCCCATAGAAGTGCTGATAGTTGTCATGCTGATTCTGAACCATTGTGACAGATATCAGTTGTTTCAAACTAATGAGAATCTGTCACGTCATGTTGGTTAGAGTAGAAAACAAGTTGAAACCTTCTGGCCAGCTTTATCCAGCACCGTGATTCCTCTAGCTTCTTTCTTAACCACTCAGCTCGTGCAACCTGAACTTCACTCACACTACGATCTTTTATGGCACTCTGAACCAGCCAATGTTTTCACACTTGTGCCTTCACACTTGTTAACCCTTCCATCTGGGATCCCCTTCTACTGCCTCTTACCCTGGAAAATTCTGAAAGACACAGGTCAAAGGTCACTTCCTTTGGGTAGTTCTTCCTTATTTATTCCATGTAGAGTTGGTGGTCCCTCCTCAGTGGGCCCATAACATTGTGTGTATACTTGTCTTTGTGTTACGATAATTTGCTTATGGTTCTCTTCTTTCCCAACGAACTGTCTTTGGGAACCCAAGAAAATGAATCCTTAATTCTTACCAGGGAAACTTAGGAGCCTCCATGGAGGAGGTAGCCATTTCACTAGTTTATGAAGGATAAGTAGAAAATTAAGGAAAGCTCATTCTAGGCTGAGGAAACAAGCATCAGCAAAACAGAAGCATGAATAAATGTAAAATGGGAAATGAGGATAGAACTTCTGTTTCTGAGCACCATTTGCAGGCCCGCCTATTAAATCCATTTAAATGATGAATGATGTTAATATATTTAAAATATGGTGACTAACCATTGCCTGAAATTTCTCACCTTGTTTAGATTGCTTTTGGTAGTTGTGAGCTCTTTGAGTCTTGTTCTGTTGGCCATTAAATATTACTCAAAATGCATAAAAGCTTGTGTCAGAATTTTTCTGTTTCTACATTACCCAATTACATGTTAATCTATAGTTCTACAGGCACATTTTATTTTATATAAGCTCTGATCAAAGAGTGATTTAAAATAATCTAGTACTGCTAGCATTGGTTAGGAAATGAAAAAATATAGTTTTAGGCAGGCGAAGTAATGTACCTCAGTAAGATAAGCCTATGGAGGCAGCTTAATATTAATACTTGCACAGAAAATTAGTAATTGTTTGTACTTTTTTATTCTGGTTTATCACTGATTAGAAGGAAATTGTGATTAATAATTATAAATAATTTTTCACTGGCTTACGTTTCTTTCCTTCTGATTTGTATTCCCTCGTGTGTGTGTGTGTGTGTGTGTATGTGTGTGCGTGCACGCACGTGTGTATGTATTTTCCTTCTGAATTATAAAACTCAGCTTTAAAGGGACCCACACTGGTCTTTGACACAAATAGTCCCCAGTTGCAAAACATGCACATATGTAATACATAAATATGGTTTTGGCTATGGTAACTCGGTCTTATGGGTAACAAACTTGTCAGCTTAATTTGCTACCGAGGGGTAATCCTATCTGTCAACAACCTAAATAGATTTTCGTGTCTTTTCAGTTAATTGACAATATTCAATAATAACTTAAAGAATTCTGAAATGTAGTTTCTGTTTAATTTTTATATAGGCTTTTACTAGAATCTACTGCTATTTTTCTTTAAAAATGTTTTTAAGTGTTCTTAATTCTCATTTATATTCTCTTTTTTTTTCTTTTTCTTTTAGGTACAGGAGCAGTGTCAGAGCCTAAAGGAGTTTTACCAAACTGAAATCCTGCAAAAGCAAGAGGATGATGCTGAAGCCAAGCATCGGTCTGACTCAGCTGAGAAGCAATGGCAGCTATTTTTGAAGAGGAGTTTTTTAACTCAAGACCTAGGGCTTGAGTGCCTTAATTTAATAAATATGGTAAGAATGACATTAACTGTGTTACACCTTCTGCAAGGATACCTTGTCAAAGTCAAAACCATAAATTCAAAAGTCCATCTGTCTGCTAATCAGCTTGCTGGTTTAGGAAGTTGTTTTTGGTTTTATTATTATTTTTTATTTTTTTTCAGCTTTATTCAACCTAGAACAGTCCTAAAGCTGAGCATTTATATGCTTATTTGGTCTTAGACCTCCTATTCATTTCTAGTGAAGGCTATTTTAACTATTAAGAAGAAAGAGTGACTATAATTCAAATACAACATTGCCATTATTACATAGAGACCTCAGTAGAAGTCCATCCGAAAGTTGTATTATTTTGAGAGCGTGCAACAAGGTTCTTACAAAAATTCCAGGGGTTAAAGATAACATCTAGGGTCAATCATCATTTTGAGGAATTTCTTACCATAGCAGATCTTTTCATAGTAAAACTCCATTATATTTAGAAATGTACTTCAAAATTTTAGTTGTCGAGTTGTATCTGTAAAATACTAGAATCTTTATATCAACCTCTGACCCATATAAAGTTCTCTACAGAGTTTTTAAAAAATGGCTAATCCATCTCTCCTTTAATACCTCAAGTATCTTCCTAATGAAACTGCTCATTTTGTTTTTACAAAATTCCAGCTACTAGAAACCTTTTTTTTTTTTTTTTTTAATGTTAAGCCAAATCTGTCTTCATATCTCTTTCTAACCCTCTGTAGCTACACAGGGGGAAAAAGTGTTCATATTTCATTCTTCTCACACATGAAAGTCCTTCAAACACTGAAAATAGTTGCTATGTCTAATCTGGGTTTTTCCAGTAGCTAACCACATAGAAATCCTTTCTGTCATTTATGAGATAGCTTCGTTTCTCTTTCCATCCTAATTCTCCCTCCCAGAATTTTCTATGGTTTGTCAAAATCATTCATAAAATGTAACCAAAAAGTGAGGTCCAACTTCAACACAAAGTACAAGAAAGTGGACATCATTCTTTACTAAGGAGACCTAGATTATCCTAACATTTTTAGCAATAATTTCACTTTGCTGGCTCATATTAGGCTTGTGATCAAATAAAATTCCTCTTACATTTTCATTGTAATTCCTACCAAGCTACTTCTCTCCCATCTTATATTGGTCAGGCATTTATCTTTTACATACAAATGCAGGCCTTTATATTTATTCCTATTTAATGTCATTTTGTTAGTCTTCACCCATGATTCCATCTTGTTAAAATAATTCTGAATCTGCTCTCTATGGCATTAGCCATTTTTCTGAATTTAATTCTATACATTTTATAAGTAGGCCTTCTGTGGCTGCAAGTAGATTTTTAATAAAAGTGTCTAGGGGCAAGTCGACTTCCCAATCCATTAAGCCATCACTTGATTAACCCGTTTATTAAATGGTCATGGACACTTCCAACAGTACTTCATTTTGACCACTAATTCACAACTTTTTTCCTAAGTCTGTCATGAGAGAGATAGCACAAAGGAGTGCCTACCTACCAATTATCCTATCAATTACATAAGTATAATCTGGCATAAATCAGGTTGACTCCTTGTGATCAAGGAATTTTTTCCAAAGTGCTCACAAACTACTTGATCCAGGATAAACTTATTTGCACTGATTTTCAGTGTAAGGCTTACCAATCTGTAAATGATGTAGACCATCCTTTTCCCCCTTGTAAAAATCAGGGCATTTTCCTTTCTCTAACTTTCTGGGCCTTCTCTTATTTTATGTCGATTTGCAAAGATAACTGACATCTGCAATTTTCCCAATACTCTGAAATGTGATGAGTCTCAGTCTGGAGTCTGAATTCATTTGGAAGAGTTAGGTTCTATAACTATTCTCATCCACTTTGAGCTACAATTTTCTCTTTTTTTGTGATTTTTTTTATTATCATGTTCAGTTAGCCAACATATAGTACATCATTAGTTTTGGAAGTAGTGTTCAATAATTCATTGGTTGCATGTGCAATTTTCTCTTTATCTTCTCTCTCCACTTTTACTGTTTGAAGACTATTCTTATTAAATCTATGAGGAAACAAAATAAGTATAAATAGTGCTAATTTATCTAAAGCTATTCTTAAGCATCAGAGAAAACTTACTAAGCAATTTGCCCATGTTCTTATGTTATACAAGTGCTTTATTGTAAAAACTAATTAAGTTATTTTTCATTTGGAACGTTTAGAACACGTATTATCTATCTATCATCTTTTACATTTTTACTCGGTCTCTTGATTATGTACTTCTCTAATTTGTATTCACAAGGGAATTCAAATATTTGCAAACTACATTTTTATGTCTATCCTTTTTATTACTAACTTCATTTCAGAAATTTATTTTTCAGTTCTGAAATTTCCAGTTGGATCTTTTTTTATTAGATTTCAATTGCCAGTGAAATTCTCTCTCTTGTCCTCTCTCCATCTCTCCTGTACTTTCTTGACCATATTAATCATGGGTATTTTAAAGTGTTTGTTGGCTAATTCCAATATCTGGGCCTGGAGTTTTTCTGTTGTCTACTTTTCTCTTGGTTTCCAATCATGTACTCCTGTGTTGGCAGGACCCATGAATCAAATCTATCAAATCTCAGACCTTATGTATAAAACACATGCTTTACCCTGAGGTCCTTACCACTTTCATATAATAAATTCCTCCTTATTGATAAGAATTAAGATCCACATAATAGTTAACTTTATTGGTTCAGTGACATTCTGAGATAAGAAATTATTGGTAAAGCAAGTAAAACACATTTTTAATCCTCTTCATATTTTTTAGACCATTAGGCTTTTAAACAAACATTATTGTTGAAATGTGGTAACCAGTTTCGTTGCTAAAAGGGAAGAAGGCCAACTGGCATTTTCCACTGAGTGTTTTGCTCTTGATTGGGTTGCTGTGGCGCATCTTTTCAAGCTTGAAACTGAAAAATTTTCAGTTCATCTAAAAAAATCATCAAGATCAGAGAAATTGATTTAGGTGAGAAATCTGGCAGACATCTTGATGAAAGTGCCAATTTACTAATTTATAGTGGTGAATATCAAAGATGCTATCCAGGATACTGCCTTCCTGTTATCAACGTATCTAGAAAACAAAACACACCATTAAGTGTGCCTGAATTCAAATGGAAATAGTACCCTATTAGATAAGATTATGACAAATTTTTCCATGCCCCTACACAGAAGTAGGATGAGTATTATGTTTACTAACTAGACCTTAGACAAATTATTTAATCTTCCTCAGTGGTCAAAATTTTAAGTCTGCCAAGTACATCATCACTCTTCTTGAATCCTGCTAGCTAGACAGCAACAAATACTACTGTGCTCTTCCTTTTCCAGACCTCATTCAAATCATGCCCTATGGATTGTGCTTGATGCTGATATGCTGCAATTTCCAAGTTTACATTAAATTATATGTTATATTTTGACTAATAGTTACTTAATAGTATGTGAAAGATACCTTAACTTTGTAGCATAGGTAAAAAAATACTATCTGGAGTGGGTTTTGCTGAAGTTGTCTAGTATCTTTTATGATATATTAGAATCCTATTAACCATAATTGCAGCATATATCATTTTATTTCTGAACCCCCAAATTCATGGGAGGAAATCTCATTTAGGACCTGCAATTATATTCTTTTGTAATTAATCAGTACTTTATTATGTCTAAATTGATATAAAAATATAAATATGAAATACTGATGTCCTGTAAAATAATTTAAAAACAAGATGGAGTTTTAAAATATTGTTACATATTTATGACACTATCTTCTGACTACAGTTTAAAAGATCCCTTGACTTTTAGATACCTAGCTGTAATTGCAATTATAGACAACCATGCATATTTGCTCCTTAGAAATTTAAGGGTTCTAGACTGTTGAATCACAGATCTGTACCTCTGAAACAAATAATGCAATATATGTTAAGAAAAAAAAAGAAGAAGATAGCAGGAGGGGAAGAATGAAGGGGGTGGAAATCGGAGGGGGAGACGAACCATGAGAGACGATGGACTCTGAAAAACAAACTGAGGGTTCTAGAGGGGAGGGGGGTGGGGGCATGGGTTAGCCTGGTGATGGGTATTAAAGAGGGCACGTTCTGCGTGGAGCACTGGGTGTTAATGCACAAACGATGAATTGTGGAACACTACATCAAATCTAATGATGTGTAATGTATGGTGATTAACATAACAATAAAAAATTTAAAGAAATTTAAGGATTTATTGAGAAAGGCTGGCCATCAAAGTAAAAACCATTGTTTTGTCAACCAAATATTCAAATACCACATTTTTTATGTGCAAACATAAAAAAAACACTAGGTCTTACGCTTTACTTCTCTTATCCTTCTTCCTCCAGTTGAATTTCCCCTTGTTTAAAAACAGTGTCTGAAGGTTTTCCAATCAGTCAACCAGAACATGTAGAAGTTGGGAAAAGGGCTCTGCATTTAGATATTGTGATTCTGGTGCATAATTGAGATACAAATATAGAGATATATAGATATATACATTTCAGTTCTCACAAAAGGGAGTAACTTCAAGCACAGTTCACAAGAAAAATTTAAAATAATCATAGTATATACAATAGGATAGTTTAAAGAGAAAAACAGACCCCTCATATTCCTGATACTAAGATTTTGACACATTCTGATGAGTGTGTTAAAATTAAAGGTGGACTACACTTCAAAACTTATGAATTAAAATAATCTTGACTTCAACATTTCTGGATTCTGGTGCTCATTCTAACACCCCTTAAGCCCTAGGAAATAACCAGACCCTGGCCAGGGGTGTGAGGGTGGGGACTCAAACACCACTGGGATTTTGAAGAACTCAGGACCTGGTGTCCAAGCATAGAATATAGGTTCTGAGAGCCCCACTGTGCCTTCACACAGGCATTCCAGACTTGTCCTGATATCAGAACCATGCTCTGCGTTGGCTATGATCAGGTGTTTGCCTTCTAAAATAGTGTATGCAAAAATGCTGTGTCTCTTGGGAAAGAAAAGCCATTATATGGATTATTAATTTAACAGGCAAAAAGGAATGAAATATTAAATGCGAAAAGTGAAGTGCACTTTATGGAGAACACTATGGAAAGCCAGAAGGCAGAAAGAGAAGAACTCAGCCACCTTCGGATGACATGGCAACTTAAAGCCATTGCAAGCAAGCCTGTGAAACAGCAGTGGGGAGCATTCAAAGAACAACTTAGAAAGGTACAGGAACATGCAGTGGATATTATTAAGTCTTAAAAACGAATGAAATTCTGACATATGCTGTAGCATAGAAGAGACTTTAAAACATCATGCTAAGTGAAATAAGCCAGTCACAAAAGAGTAAATGTTGTATGATCCCACTTACATGAGGTACCGAGAGTCAAGTTCATAAAGAGAGAAAGCAGAATAGAGGTTACCAGGGCTGAGGGAAGAAGGGATGGGAGTTACTGGTAAATGGGTACAGAGTTTAGTTTGGGATGATAAAAAGTGTTGGAGGTAGATGGTGGCGGTGGGTACACACTAATGTGAATGTCCTAATTCCACCAAACTGCACAGTTAACAATTAGTTAGAATGGTAAATTTTGTTATGTATATTTTACCATAATAAAGCCAGAACCAAGTAAAGGAAACACAGGGCCTGCACTTTTGTTCACTGGTGATTTAGAACCTCGAACTCACTTGAGGTAGTGAGTGTTTTCATGGGGATGGAAAAGTTCAATGACATACTAGTCATCGCTGGAATGGTCGTTATGTATTTGCTGGTGGTATCAAAGAAAACAAACTCATGACTATCTAATGTTTATTTCAGACTACTTACAACTTGCAACTTCTTCAGGAAGCACTTATGCCTGTGTCTGCTCTTGACCTTGGAGGGAGCCTCCAGACCATTTTAGGTCTACAGAAAAAATGGAACGAAATGAAGCCTCAGCTCCAGGTGAAGAAACAGACTGATAGACTTGGGTGAACGGGAAAAAAATAAAAAACTGAGGCTTTCAGAGGGGAAGGGGGTGGGGGGTTGGGTTAGCCTGGTGATGGGTATTAAAGAGGGCACGTACTGCATGGAGCACTGGGTGTTATACGCAAACAATGAGTCATGGATCACTACATCCATAACTAATGATGTACTGTATGGTGACTAACATAACATAATAAAATAAAAAAATAAATAAAACATAAAATGGATTGCCATATGACTTAGCAGTTGTACTCTTGGGCATTTATCTCAGAGAAATGAAAACTTACATACTAAATACTATGTACACAAATGTTTATAGCAGCTTTATTCAAAATAGCCCCCAACTAGTAACTACCCAAGATGTCCTTCAACAGGGAATGTTTAAACTAATGATTAAACTAAACAGCCATGTCATGGAATACTACACAGCAATAAAAGGCATGAATGATTTATATACACAAGAGCCTGGATGAATCTCAAGGGAATTGGCTGAAAGAAAACAGCCAATCCCAAATGTTGTTTATTGTGTGATTCATTTATATAATGTTCTTGAAACAACAAAACTTGAGAGATGGAGAACTGGTGTCAGAAGTTAGGGATGATTAGGGGAGGAAATCATTATAAAGGGAGCCATGTGGTGATTGAATAGTCCCTTATCTTGATTGTGGTTGTGGTTACATTAAGCTACACATGTGATAAAATTGCATAGGACTACACATATACACAGACACACAGACACACACACAAGTGCATGTGTAATTGGAGAAATCCAAAACAACTCTGTGGATTGTACGAATGTCAGCTTCCTGGTTTTTATCTTGTTATACAAGATGTTAACTTTGGGGAAGAGAAGACTAGAGAAAAGGAGCATGGAACTTCCCTGTACAATTCTTTTTTTTTTTAAGATTTTATTTATTTATTTGACAGAGAGAGAGACACAGCAAGAGAGGGAACACAAGCAGGGGGAGTGGGAGAGGGAGAAGCAGACTTCCTGCCCAGCAGGGAGCCCGATGCGGGGCTGGATCCCTGGACCCTGGGATCAGGACCTGAACCGAAAGCAGACACTTAACGACTGAGCCACCCAGGCGTCCCTCCCTGTACAATTCTTTGTAATTTTCTTTGAATCGATGATTATTTCAAAATAAAGATGTTAAAAGACAACACAAAACAAAACGAAACTGTTCCGTTGAGGTTTACCTAATTAATTTTCACAGATGGGTGAGTTACTTTTTTTTTAAACAAAAACATCGCTTGTCTAAAACTCCACTTTAAAAAAAGACATTTTTCTTACTGTTGTTCTGCACTGTTCTGTATTTGAGGAGACACAAACATTCAGGCTACAAAATGTCCTTAATATATTCTTATCTTAGATTATTTTAATTTATGTCAAATTATTTTGTTATTAATATATTTATCACATATATTGACTCTAATTATTTCCCTAAGAGGTATAGACACATTTTAGATGAAGACATCTGAGAGCAAGGATGGGCAAGCTCTGACACAGAGGCCCTGCCACCGTTTGTCCCCGAAATTGCCACTATGATATCACTGTCCTTGCCCACTGGCATCCCAGGTTCCCAACACCCTCCCAGGAATCTTGCTGTGCTCTCCCGTTCTCCCTCTCAGAGAGCCCTCAGGAGATGAGAGATAAAACCATGAGTCATGTTGCCAGGCCCTGACTGTGAATGCATTCCATACCCTCCACCTCCTGCAGCTCCTAAACCTGATACAGCTGCCAAAAGTGATTGCTGCTGGTCATGCTGTCCTCCTGCCTGGCTTCTTGTTCTTTGCTGCAAAGTCAAGCTATCTGCGTTTCTGTTGGTCACAACTTCCTAAGTGTTGGCCTTAAAGAATGCCAAATCAGAAAATGGAAGATTCCTTTAGGGAATATCTATTTTAGATTCTTTAAAATAAAACTGATATCATGGATAACCAGCCCCCCGCACAAAAACACACCATTGTAGCCCATGGTGAACGAGTTCTTGTAAAATCTTAGAAAATTCAACTACCCTACGTGTTAGATACTTTGATATGCCCTGTGTTATATATGCCTATTTGCATTTCATGTTTACATGTATGCACATGCCCCTGCACATGCGTAAGTGTGTAAATCCCTCGAAGTCAGGGGCCATTTCCAAGCTTTGTTAGTTCTGTCACTGTGTCGTGCATATATTTGATGTCCCTGTGCTTGATTTCAACTTGAAGACCTTTCTGTTACTCTTCTGCAAATTATTTCTTTTGCCTAAATCATTTCCATTACTTTTTTCCTTGATAGAAAAAGATCCATCCCTGATATTATAGTGACTTCCTCTTTGAGTTGTCCACCCTTTGCAAGTTCTGTCCCAGAATCTGGATTCCTATAAGGGATCTCTGAGCAGTGCTGGGTAAAAACGAAGCTGCTTCATCCCTCCCTACATGTGGTGGCTATTAGTGGATTCTGGGATGACCATTTTTTTTTTAAAGATTTTATTTATTTATTTATTTATTTATTTGAAAGAGAGAGAGAGAAACAGCATGAGAGGGAAGAGGGTCAGAGGGAGAAGCAGGCTCCCCGCTGAGCCAGGAGCCCGATGTGGCACTCGATCCCAGGACTCTGGGATCATGACCTGAGCCGAAAGCAGTCGTTTAACCAACCAAGCCACCCAGGCACCCTGGGGGATTATGGGTTGACCATTTTTAAGGCGGCATATCTACCACATTGCTCAGCTGGTAGGTCACTCCAACCATTCTGTTATTCTAGAGGACAAATAATTCCCCCAATATATTTTTAGACTTGCCTTCTCTGGTGTTTTTACTACACTGCCTGATTCTAGTCTATATTAAATATCAGAGATGGTCATGGCTTCACAAAATATCTAAAATACATTCACTTAACAGATAACTGGAGTATTTGATGTGCCACAGACATAGGTGACTTGTAGTTTACCAGCTGGCTTTGAAACATGTTTTTTTGTATTGCTGATAATTTTTTTTTAAATTTCTGAGAAGTTAGGGATAGAATAATGTATCCTTAGCATCAAGCACAAAGCTTGGATTTGCAGGGATGGGATGGGGCTGACAATAAATAATTGTTAACAAATGAGAGAATGATTTGTGATTTAGGTCTTCCTATAGTCAGCTATAAAGTAAAAAGCTCCCTAAAAGCTGGATATTTTTATTGCTTTTAACTTTTTAGCAACTGAATGATGAAGTTCAGTACATTATAAAAGAATCAGAAGAGTTAAGTGGCAAAGGAGCCCCTATGAAAGAGAAGTCTCAACAACTGAAGGAGCTTATTCATCTCCATCAAACACAGAAAGAGAGAATCCGAGATTACGAGGATATCCTGTACAAGGTGGTCCAATTCCACCAAGTCAAGGAAAAGGTAAGACTTGTCACGGATAGCTGGACAACCCTCACTTTTAAACTATAAAGTTAAAAATAAATTATTGTGTAAAAAAGGCCAAATTTTTTAGTCTGGTATTAGGAGCTTTCCACAATCTGGCCTTTAACTTTTTTCTCACTATGCCTCTATCCTCCCTTATGATCCAGCCAAACTGAGCTCTTCTTTGTCCCTCAAAGATAGTGCACACATTCCTAAGTCCAAGCCTGGACTCTCAGGTGCCATTACCTGACAGATCCTTTTCTCTCCCCTCTACTATTTAAACCCTGTCCCTGCTTCCAACAAACCTATGTCACTTGGAATGTTTTATCTCTCTTCTAAATTTCCAGAACCTTCATTGTTTATTTCACACATTTGTCATTTTTAACATCTTGATTCTTTTTTTTAATATTTTATCTATTTATTTGAGAGAAAGAGTGAGAGAGAGAGAGCAAGAGTAGGGGGAGAGGGAGATGGAGAAGCAGACTCCCTGCTAAGCAGGGAGCCTGATGTGGGGCTTGATCACAGGACCCTGGGATCATGACCTGAGCCAAAGGCAGACTCGTGACTAAGACACGCAGGCACCCCTAGCATCTTGATTCTAAATTACTTCTTCCCCTCAACTCAAGTGTAAGCTCTTCAAGGGAAGAAAACAAATTCTTTTTGTTTTGTTTTTTTGTATCTCAAGTAACTGACAATATGGAGTGCTCAATAGAGTTTTATAATTATTAGCTTCTATTAACAGAAAATGGACATCTATCAATATCCCTTTAAAATAGCCTCTGAATTTACTCAGATCACAAGTCTAAGAGTGTTTTCTTCTTTAATAGAACTGACAGTGTTAATCCCTCAATTTTACCCTACCAATCTGAAGCACTGTAACATTTTTTTGGTCTATAACACTAATAATTATAGATGGGCTTGGCAGCATTTTGACCAGGTAGTAAAATTGGTTATAGCAAGTAGGCTTTTAAAAAAAAATCTATCTTCATAAAAAATAGGAAATCCATGTTAATTGTTAATGTCCTAAATTCCAGCTGGGTCATCTCAACAAATCAAGGGAAATGGAGTTTTTAGAAGAGCCAAAGGATCTGGATGATGCCCACGAAGCCCAGGTTCACCTCAGTCACTTGCAGGAAAAGCAGGCACATATTGATCATCTCCATAAACTGGCCCTTTCCCTGGGAGTGGATGTCATCTCATCAGTGCAACGGCCTGTAAGCAACTTAGAACACCATCACTCACACGTAATTAAAGCTGAGAGTTGGGTACAATATCAAAGAAACCAGGCAGACTGCCTAGTATATGTTAAATTTAAAAATACATTAAACCATTGGGATAGTTATTTGTGGTGAATCTCTACCACCTATAACAAAAGAAAAGACTTTTAAGGAGAAAAATCTGTTTATAAAAGTCTTGTTTAATACATCTATTCTCATGCTAATTAAAATGTAGAATTGTAGAGCTGTGTTGTCTAATATGGATGGCAGTCAGGTTTTTGCATTTGAAATGTGCCTAATGCAACTAAAGAACTAAACTTTTAATTTTATTTATTTTTAATTAATTTAAATTTTAAAACTGACACTCACTGTAATTATGGAAAAACTTTTAAGTACGTTGGGAACAGCTTGCATATGTGAATCCACATTTTAAACTATAAACTATGAAATTTGAATACAGATCAAGTATTTCTGATAGAAGTTGAGCAACAATTAAGAAGTGCTTATAAGTGTGAAATACACGCTAGATTTCAAAGACAGTATAAAAAACTATTAATATTTTTACATGTGTTTACATGTTAAAATGATGATATTTGGTTGAACAAACTATATAATGAAAATGAGTTGCACTTGTTTCTTTTTTTACTTTTTAATATAGCTACTGGAAAATTTTTAATTATTCATGTGGCTCAGGTTATATTTTGATTGGACCTATGCTGCTTTAGCATTTCGGATCTGGAAGGTATCCTAGAGATAATCTAGCCCAGGACACTCATTTTATAAAAGAAGGATCTGAGGCCCAGAGAAGCTGCTTTATCCATAAAAGCCCATAAAGAAGGAGCTTCCTGGCTTCACCAAAGGCTTGGGTACTCGTCACTGGATCTGCTTTATGCCACTGGACTGACCTTAACAAAAGATCCTAAAAAAGAAGAAAATATTTCCAGATCATAATTTTATAAATAACACATTGGACTCTGATTTTTTTTTAAATCCTTCTCCAAATTCCTAATTTGAGGGGAGAAAAGATTGTTTATTCTATCCAATATGTATAACATAAATAAAATAATAATGGCCAATTTTACTTTAAAGCTCATTTACAATCTCCACTAAATGATATGGAATGCAATGAACCTAAAGGTTTTTTTTAATTTTTTAACTGAAAGATATAGAAATACAAAATATCTGTCACTGTTTATAGAATTGGTTTTTACCAAGAAGGAGTTTTCTTTTTAAAGAGTTTTATTTTATTAATAAATTTATTTTAAAAAGAAAGAAAAAAGTAAGATGTGTCACTTTGCACAAATAATATTATAAATTGTTCTCCAGCCCTCATCTGGCCTTGGCCTCAGCAGCCCTCTGTGTTGAGCAGAGATTGGCACACTTGCATAATGAACCTGAGGTTAAGTTCAAGTTGACAGGAAAATTATAGTGCAGAAGCTGAATGTTTCCAATGCATATTTTATGCCTTTTGAAGTAAAAATTATACCTTATAATAAACGGCGTCTCTGAAGAGTTGGGTGTGATAAGCCAATCTTTGAAAACTGAAGTTTCAAGACTAGAGTTGCAATGGTTTGCCTTCCCCAACATGTTGGTGTCTGGCTTCTTTCTGAAATCATTACATTCAAATATGCTTAAGGTAAGGTAAGCCAGGAACCGGTTTTTTAATGTCCTTTATAAGTTTCATAACACAGGTAAATAGCACATTCGTCCCATTGCCATTTCACCCATTCCTTCACTTCCTCTTCTCTTTCATTTTCAGAACTGCTCTAACATTTCTGCAAAGAACCTGCAGCAGCAGCTAGACATCCTTGAGAGGGACCGTGTGAACTGGCGTGCCAAAGCCCAGGAGTGTGAACAGACCCTGACCCGCAGCTTGGAGTACTGCACCACAAGGGACAAGATAAACGAGGTGGGGTGGCAGGGGTGAGAACCGACATTGTCAAAAGCTGCTCTGAACCTAAAGCACGTGTCTCTTGTCTGTACGTGTGCACCCACAATCAGGAGACCTTTTATTCCACCTTGACTTTTCATCCACCAAGTACAGTCTCAGGGCTCTGAAAGTTTGAGTAAATTTCAAGCACACAAGTCAGTATGTTGTCAATGCATAGAAAAACCTAGAATACACTATTGTGGTGTTTTATTTGCTTTCTTTCCCCCCACTCAAGCCTGTACAGCAATTGCTTGCTTGAGTGGATATAGCCCATTAGGGCAGAGAGTGTGATGCCATCCCCATGAAGCCAGCTCCGAATTGCTGAGATTCTATTTAAGTACCATTGACTCATAGTGAAGGGGGGTGCCAAGGGCCAGGGGAGCAGGCTCTTTGCCTCAGAGGCTATAAAGTATTATCACCAAAGTCAAGTGGCTGGTTTCATATTTACTCAAATGGAGTGGCTTCCTGGCAAAACAACTTCTAGAGAAAAAGGAATAACAGATGAAAGTCATCCTCTACATCCATGCACCTGCTCACAAACACATAATTCCACCTCCTCCCCCTCAATTCTATCCAAACCCCAACCCCCAAACATGTAGCAAGCCACAGTAACCCTCCCCTAGTTAAACTTCCCATTTAAATAAACTTATTCTGGGGAGAAAACATAGATCAGCATAGAAAATATAGAACCTGACTTTTGACTGAGAATTGACAGCAGGATACAGAGTACTGTAATGCCAGATTTATCTCCATTCAGAGCAAAATGTTTCAGAGTCCATCAGTCTCAAGTCCATTACAAAAGCGGGTGAAGGAAAAGGAAGTGGTAAACCTTCTCAAACATTTTGTATATGCCCAATTATTTACATAATCTGGGCCCAGCAAGTATCAAATATCAGACAACATTAGCTCAAGGACTCAAGTATGAGTAACTAAACTTGAATGGTGGTCTAGCTCTGAAGTACTCCTTCCTGCAGGCCACACTTTTCTAGACCACGGGCAGGTGCAGGAAGGGAGCAGGGCTGGAAGGAAACTGAGAGGGGCAGAGAACAGGAGAGGCCATGTGGATCCCAGGAGAGAAACAGGAACATCAACGACGACTTTCATTTTAGCTATGTGCCACAGGACTGTAGAGTTGCTGCTCAGAGTCCATGTTCCAGGGATGCATTCTGGGCTAGAGATTCATTCGAGGTTAAACCCAGAGTGTAGCCTACCCTCTATGTCCTCTTCCAGTTTCAGCTAACAATACTTCATTCAGGTCTTATTAAAGAAAACAATATTAAAGAAAACATTATTCTCCCCAAAGCTATAACATTTAGATTTGCAGGCTTGCAAACAATTTTTTTCCTACCTATCCCCAAAGTAATCTTCTTTCTTCCCTTCCTCCTCCTCCCCCTCTCTAATCCCTCCCCCTCTTTTTCTTCTTCTTCCTTCTTCTACTTTGGTAAACTTTTGTTTTGCCAAAAATCTCTCTTGCTGCAGGGATGCACAGCTCTATACTAACTGAAACCACAGGCAGAGGAGGGTAAGGGTTACTCCCAGCTCCCTATATCTCAGTTTCCATCTTCCTGATGTGCTGTGGCTTGTATGGAGTTGGGTCTCCCTGTTCAGGCCTTTCCCACAGTGGTTCTATTTACAGGTTGCCTCGTGATGAGCCTCTGCTGGGAGCCAGCTAGCTGAGATGACAGATGTCCCTTGTAGTCACAGTCGGGACGCCCAAGGATTGTCTGTACCATGAGCAACCAGATACATGTGGGTTTGATTTAGGAATCAGGTATCACTTTAACATGACTTTAAACATTAAGAGAACTAGTCTTCCCACTTGCTTCTACTTCATATCCAACTACTCTTTGATGTAAGTTACAATTTCATATTTAAAGGCTCTTTGAAAATCTTTGGTCCTTTCCTCCTTTTCTTCTTATAGAAATTTAGTAGGCATGTCACAGTGTAGCATGCACACCCTAAACTTTCCAACCACAAGCCTAATGGGAAGATAATCAGAAGGAATATTTTTCACGCACTTTAGTGAAATAAATATACATACACTCTAGTTTGTATTGTGAATATCAGAGTGCAGATGGGTAGATTCCAAGTGGTGATAATATTTATACACCTCGACATTTTTTATATTATCATTATTAATATTTGGCATAGGTACTTAAAACATTATAAAAAATTAAAAGCAATATGTTACACTACTTTTTTTGTATATAAAAACATTAAAGTCAGACACCCCACCAGAGAACTAGAGCAAACATTGCATTTTTTTTGAAGATTTTATTTATTTATTTGAGAGAGAGAGAGAAGAGGGGAGAGAGAAAAGCAGGCACCCCAGCTGAGCAGGGAGCCCGACACAAGGCTTGATCCCAGGACCTTGGGATCATGACCTGAACTAAAGGCAAATACCCAACCGACTAAGCCACCCAGGGAACCCAATGCATTTTATTTTTTAAATTGATTTGGAAACACATTGTTTTGCTTCCAGTGTGCTTCAAGTGCTTCTTGGAAGTTCACAGATTCTGGGTGGAAATAGATTTTGGAAGATCTCGACTTCGACACATCTTCCTTTTTAGGACAAGAAACCGGAGGTGTGTAGGATTTGCATTTGAACAGTGTGCTCTAGGACTGCAAAGCTTCTGTTCCTGGTGTGTTGAGGAGTCAGCTTTGGGCCAAAAGCTCATCTATTGGTCTTCAGTCTTTACTGGGCACCAACACGATGTCACTTGCTAAACTCAGAGTCCCCACTCACTCCCTGCTTTAACGCATTCAACCATGGCATGGTCTGATGCGCCATGTACCCTTCCTCTGTGCTTTCCTCTGCTAGCCTTGTTTTCTGGCATAGCCATGACAAGCTGTTTGGATGCTCTGGTACAATAGCACAGTTCATTCGGTCATTTCAATCAAAATTACTTGTTGATGATGCCCTAACTAACTTTCCTGTTTATAACTGCCCTAGAGGTCCCTAGCAGAGGACTCGGTACCTCAGGGCAAAATAAAGGGAGGTGTTCTAAATGCAATTTTTTTTAATGTGATATGATATTCTTTAAAGACAAAGAACCATGGTTCTGTGCCTTATCTTTAGGTAAAATATTATTTTCTCATTTCATGTACTACATAAGACATAGGAAATTATAAAAATCTCATTTTCTCCATGTCTACCTTCACAGCCTTCAGACTGCCAGATTTCGTGGAGTTTTTTTCTACTCATTTCACACAAAGATACATTTGTATGCATGAATGTTGAATTTTACCATATATTTTCTTGCCTGGCAACATAAATAAACTGTTAATACACAAAGCATTACAGACATTCTCTGTGGTGAGACATGACAGAACATAATTAGCTACTCATTCTTTTACACATCTTCATTTAGAAACGTAATAAGTTAATATCAAGCATGTTTTCTATCTGCAACCTGACCAAAAAAATTACTTTTACATAATGTTAATGGAAATTTGTAACTGGAGTCTCCTTATGGGTCACAATTACTTTGCTGAAAAAAAAAACCAGCAGTGACAAAATTGGGTTGGTACCCATTCTCTCAAAATAAGTTTTGCAAACAGAAGCTTTCATATAATTAGAATACTTTAGCCTGAAATTTTTACACTGTAGCAACATCCTACCCATCGGGAAGGAAGCAGAAAAGGACTTGGTGTATATATAGGTCTATTCCATATGTCGGAGTCTCAGGTTCCAGTTACACAAATTTTTTTGTCAATTTGGATAAGTCGGTCATCTGAGTTCCAGAGATACAAGGCAAATGAGAAGCAGCAAATTAGAACAGGGGAATAGACACCCAACTCATGAAATCGAACTTCCTGACCTCATATAGCACTTTGCTGTTGACAAAATGACCATGGAGAGTCCCCTACTGGCAGGATAAGAGGCAGATAAAGAGTGCCCGGACGGGTCAAACAAGCGGTGGGCAGTATTGTGGTATGGTGCCGGGGATTATCATTTTCCAGATCGATAACCCTAACTCGTCATTTTAAGGAAAAAAACTAAACTATCGTCATTCGACACATATCGCCAATGTGGCTACTGTGTACTAGACCGTGAGCATATAAAATTCTTCAGGGAACGTGGAGCCCAGACTGAATTAAAGCCCGTGGGACTTCAAGTCACAGCCAGTCACAACCAGTCCACACCATGGGTCCATCCAGAGGGTATATAGAAGAGAATAGAGAAGATATATTTGTTCTGAAAATGAACATCCATAGGCATAAAAGGTGTTAAAAGTTTGGTGTTTCACATCTGCAAAGTGACTCTTTTTCCTGAAGAATATAGAGAGCTCTAGTTTAAAATAGTTACCATGTCCAGAAAATAAAACCAACGTAACATGAACACACAGACCTTGCGGGGCGGAGACAATAGCCATTACTGAGACACCATGTCAAATGGAGCCAGCGTCCTCTCTCCGCAGGCTGCCCCACTTCTGCAGCCGCAGCGCTGGCCCTGAGCGCACAAAGATGCGCAGCCGCGTGGTTGCCAAGCACAAGGAGGCCCAGGGAGCCTTGTCCTGAAAGCTCTCCAGCACTTAGGCTGAATAGTCTAGCCATAGTAATTGTAGCAAATCATTCAGGTTGAATTATGAATCTTTGGGTCCTTCCACTTCAAATGCAAGCGTCCTTGGGAGGTGATAATTTGGAAACCTGTTACTGAAAATGAGCATCAGAAAGCTTTTTTCTGGGGCAAAAGGATGAGCAAGAAATGAAGCTCGTGAAGTGGACATGAAGAGAAATGGACTATTTGTTTTGTAGTTTTTCATCTGGCCAAACCTGTGCCATAGTTCCAATGAAGCCTTTCTTTTTTAATTTTTTTAGTAGGCTCCATGCCCAGTGTGGAGCCCAACATGGAGCTTGAACTCAGGACCCTGAGATCAAGACCTGAGCTGATATCAAGAGTCAGACGCTTAACTGAGCCACTCGGGTGCCCGGAGAGGCTTTTTTTTTTTTATGGGTTTCCTTAGTATTAAAATGTCCCATGTCCCTCATGTAAATTGGCTTTGCCAGCACCAGACTCACAATAATACACTCTTATGCCAAAGCAGCCTCAACCAGCTTAGTCAAGACTAAGAATAGCAGTCTAACCCGGTCGTCATCAGCCTCGTTTTGCTTCTGCTTCTTCTCAAAGAAGCTTTGTTCATTCCTAACCCTGAGAGAAGCTCACTGCTCCCTGAGAAATATGGTGAAGATGTTCATTCTGCTGGTTCCAAAAGAACCACAATTTTAAAGTCTTAATTTTATTCCTAAGTATAGCTCTGTTAACTTAGTCTGCTGATTCCATAACAAATATGGAGGAACTGAACAAGTGGAAAGACAGGAAAATCATATTATTCATTAGAAAAAAAATTCCTCCTGGTTTTTTAAAGACTTTTAGAAACTTTGTTAATATGGATTATAACAACATTTCAATTTTTTGAATAGGGTGAACTATCCTGCCCCAGTGTTGGGTGTTTTTTTCTGCTAACGTGTTCTAGTTGAGCAGTTGTCTTGCCATTTCCACTGTTCCCCATTGTTGACAAGCTAACTAAAGTTAGAAACAGCTACAGGAACAATGGTTCCATAGCCAAGCAACCATGGCACTCAGTTCCTTTAAAAAGATGATCACATTGGGGAGGGTATGTGCTATGGTGAGTGCTGTGAATTGTGCAAGACTGTTGAATCACAGATCTGTACTTCTGAAACAAATAACACAACATATTTTAAGAAAAAAGAAAAAGAAGAAGATAACAGGAGAGGAAGAATGAAGGGGAGTAAGCCAGAGGGGGAGACGAACCATGAGAGATGATGGACTCTGAAAAACAAACTGAGGGTTCTAGAGGGGAGGAGGGTAGGGGGATGGGTTAGCCTGGTGATGGGTATTAAAGAAGGCACATTCTGCATGGAGCACTGGGTGTTATGAACAAACAATGAATCATGGAACACTACATCAAAAACTAATGATGTAATATATGGTGATTAACATAACAATAAAAAACTTTAAAAAAATAATATACAAAAAAGATGATCACAAGTTATATAGGGGTTAGATGGGAAGTTAAGTTTTCATGTTGGAATGTGCAGGTAAGAAATTTAGGCATGGTTAGGTTTTTCTGAAAACCTAGTTGCTAAAGGTAGTTCCTTCATGCTACCTTCCACTTGTATCTGCAACAGTCCTAAATTCGAGCTGGGAAAGGCACAAGATTTAAAGTGCATTTCTAGCGGGACCAAAAGAGAAAAGTGCCAGCAACTTTGTCAAAGGAGTTCCTGTGTCAGAAAGAAGCTGATTCCATTTCACATACCCATAGCGCCATGAACTTATATATATCTTATAAATCATTTCTGTGGAAGTGCATACATTCTGAAGCCACAGAAATAAAATTGTGCTCATCATTTATCGGCCTTAAATTTTTTGATCCAAAGCAGATTTAAAATTTCATGGTTTAGAATTACAGTGTTAAGGCTCAGCCTTTCTCCGTTCATCACATAGTTTTCAAATAGAAGTTGATCTTTCCCATTTAAACAAGCAGACGTAACCCAGTGATTATTGACAGAGCCCCTCTTCCTTTCTCTAGACTGAAGTTTGTAATGTGTATCATGTTCCAGTAAGAGAAAAACGAATATAAAATTTTATTTTCCAATGGATACTTATTAATGATAGGACATATATTTTCCCTTTTCTTTTTTCTTTTCTTCTGTTTATTTTTATTAAAAAATTATATTTTTAATTGTAGTAAAATGCACATAACATGAGGTTTACCTCCTTAACCATTTTACAGGTACCGATAATGATATTAAGTACATTCACATTGTTCTACTACCATTACCACTATCCATATCCAGAACTTTTTCTTCATCCCAAACAGAAATTCTGTACCCATGAAACAGTAACTCTCTATTGGGGACATGTTTTTTAATACAAGAATCTGTGGTTTCCTCAGATGTGGTAGTTATTATACCTACAATTGCAGATTATGACTTTGGGAGTCATAAGAGTTCCTGCCCAAGTTTTATGTGAATAACTCCGGATGTAGTCCCTTTATATCTCAATCCCATTTGTCTTTTCCCACTAAAATCAAACATGTTCATATTAAAACACTGAATGTCAAAGAATTTAAATATTAATTGGTTATTTCAAAAGTATACCAAATGAATATGACTTCTCAAATACTTGTGTGAGTTCTAATAGAGAAATAGTTCTCAAATTTTGAAACTATAGTTCTTACCATCTCTTGAGAATGTTACTGATTTATCAGTTTAAATGTTTAATATGGTCTCTGTGGTTGGCTTAATTGGTAGCTTAAAACTAGCATTCAACAATTTCATTTACCATATAAAATAAACAAAACTGATTATGTATAGGTGTGTCAGAGGCAAAAATTGCATCAGCATAATAATTTCCATGTATGCAAGTCTGCTAAGGCCTTTATAGATAATTGTCTCCAAGAAATGTTAAAGATAAGGTAAAGGTTCTGTTACTACAATATGCAGAATTTGAAATAAGCATTTTGAGAAAGCAAATATTTTTTAGGGCCAATATGCTTTTTATGTATTACAAGTCTAAAATCTAGCATGTACATGGCTTTTGTTCCCCTCCAAATAATTTGTTTGCTGTCATTGAAAAGAATTTTAATGTGTTTCTGACTTTTCTTATCATAGCTCAAATTTATCAACCATGACATTGTTCATTTTTTGCTGTTAAATGCTTCCATATAATCTGAGAAGGTTTATGTTTTCTCTGTACTTCTCTTTGCTGATAATATAACAAGAGAGTTGCCTGTCAATATGTTTATCTTTCTTGAATATGGAAAAGGGCACAGAAAGTGGTGTGTTTAATGGGTCTGGACTGCTTAGAGCTTTGGTTCACTGGTAAAGTTGAACTGGGTGTTCTTAGGCTGTCTTAACGCATGCCCTACTCTCGGTTCATCGCCATATGCTCTGTTTATACACAAGTTAGCACTGCCATCAGTGGTGACGCTGTCACTTTACTTTCTGGTTTGGAAAGGCATCTGAAGTTAGTGGCCTATATCTAAGAAGGAAATCTCTCCTGGAAACCGCTCATGAAAAATAATTTTTTAGCTGGATTTGGGCAAGTATTTTTCCTACTAATTCTCATATTGGGTCTCTTCTTTTATCCCACTAATGTCCTTGGTGGTCTGAAGGTCAACCCTTCATTGACCTCTGCAACAGGAACAGCACATGAGAGCCTAATCAATTCATTGCTGATACCGTAAGAGAGCCTCGGGAGGCAGAAGGATCTAGGGCAATGCTAGCACACAGAGAATAGAATGAATGGGAAACATAATGTCAAATAAATACAAATAAGAAAATTAGAGTTGTTGAAAATCTATGATATGTTAAAAACTGTCTTGTTTAGGGCGCCTGGGTGGCTCAGTTGGTTAAGTGACTGACTGCCTTCGGCTCAGGTTGTGATGCTGGAGTCCCGGAATCGCGTCCCGCATCGGGCTCCCTGCTCAGCAGGGAGTCTGCTTCTCCCTCTGACCCTCCTCCCTCTCATGCTCTCTGTCTCTCATTCTCTCTCTCTCTCAAATAAATAAATTAAAAAAATAAATAAATAAAAACTGTCTTGTTTGGAAGCCAAAGGATATTCTGTACTTATAAATCTAATTATAAATTACAAATCAAGGGACGCCTGGGTGGCTCAGTCAGTTAAGCACCCGACTCTTGATTTTGGCTCAGGTCATGATCTCAGGGTCATCAGATGGAGCCCTGCATGGGGCTGTGCACTGGGTGTGGAACCTGCTTAGGATTCTCTCTCTCTCCCTCTCCCTCTACCCCTTCCCTCCCCTCTCTAAAAAATTTACACATCAGAAAGTACAAAGAACAATTCATATTTATATTTTAGGATATGTTTAAATTTGCATTATGTGTTCACTTAGCAGACTTGTTTTCTATTGAAAAATCACTGAATACATTTTGAAGACTATGAATATTTTGAATTGTTAAGATTTTTGAATTTATTACAAGTCAATATTAGTGTCCTCATTTTAAGGAAATCACCTCTTTCTTTTATTGAACTGCAGCTCAAAGAATCATTCAAAGATATCAAAAAGAAATTCAACAATTTAAAGTTTAATTACACCAAGAAAAATGAAAAAGCTCGGAACCTGAAGGCTCTTAAATATCAAATTCAACAAGTTGATGTGCATGCTGAAAAAATACAGGTAAATAGAAAGGGTGGATGGTGTGTCTGTGTGTGTGTGTATGTGCGTGTATGCACTACTACGATTATTACAAAATCAGTTTGCATTTCAATTCTAGATGCCTAACCCTTGGGCTTTTTTGCAGCATTGGGATTCAGAAGGTAGTTTTCTGCGTTTGTAACAGTTAAGTTCCTCATGTAAAATGTATAAGTTAATTTATCTCTTGAGGCAGCTCTAGAATGGATTCTACCAAACCTACCCAGCCTCTCTGCTTCCACTGTTCCCCACAACACACACACGCACATGCACATATACACCTTTTATACACCCCGTTTCCTTTCCTTACGTATGCCTATGTCAGGAACTTCCTCCACTGCTCCCAGAACCCCTTATACTACCTTGATTACCACATGAACCAGCTAGATTATTTGAATATCTTGCCCAGGAGGCAGTGAGCTTCCCGAAGACAAGAAAATATTTTATTTTATGATCATTATCTTTTTTTAAATCATAATATCATTCTCGAAATCTGGAATAGGACCTGGTATATAGTGAATATTCTATATGATTTTAATGATGGATCAATAAACTATGTGGAAGAAAACCCATTCTTTCCAAAATACATTTGTGATCATTATGATTTTAATATATTATCATGGAGAAAGCTGCAAAAATTTTCTCCAAGTTTTTCTCTCAATATGTAATCACCAGCTAGCCTCATAAATAAAAATTGAATCTTATTTTTAAGACTATTTCTTTTTTGCACAGGCTTTGAAAAAGAAAATGGAAAAAGTTGAGAATAAAACTTCTGGTTCTTTCTTAAATTATCCAAATAATAAAGTTAATGTTCTTTTGGAAGCGATGAAGGATTTGCAAAAACATGTGGATGAGTTTGACAAAGTTGTGACAGATTACAAGGTGAATTTGGACCTGACGGAACACCTCCAGGAGATGATAGAAGAGGTATCCTCTTCTTGTTGTAATGGTGTCCATATGTAATGTTTTTAAAAATTGCTCTGCTAATTTAAAACAATGCTACTGCAGTTAATTTTGTCATTAAATTTATGCATCATCCTCCTTTTCATGATTATTGCCTTAGGATAATTTCTTAAAGTAGAATTGCTGGACCAAAGCGGATGAATGTTACAAGGTTTGATTGTATTGTCCAGTTGTTCTTCGTAAAGATTTTACTAATTTACTCTTACCAGCAACATATGAGAATTTCTCGTTTCTCCATAACTCCATCAACTCAAGATGTTTAACCATCATGGAATTATGCTCGCTGCTGGATATCTGTTTAAAATACTCAAAATGACTTATTTATTTCATGGAATTTGAAAATGTTTAGAAAGAAATGTGGTACTGGGATGTTTCAGGTACAAAAATTGTTATTGGTGTTATTTTGTTTTTGTCAAGAGGATAAATGGTAGAGTATGCATAAACTATATGAAATTTGACAAGTTAAAGTTATTATTTGCACACTTCATATTGAAGAAATTCCACACTTGAAGTTCTTTGTGGCCCATTGTTCTGTGATACAAAATGTCTCTTTGCCACAGATGCAGCAGTTTTTAGATTTAACACCGCGCTAAGGAAGATGAAGATGATCATTCTTCTATATCTGATCTATAGGTTTGCTGTGGCCCTGTGGCACTTTTTTAAAGCCAGCTCCTAACAGAGTCATGTGTTTCTATTTCTCACTCATCATAATTGCTCTGGCCTTGGTCAGACACATTCCTTCCATCACAGTTATTTAGTATTTTTGGTGAGAAACTGTCTCAATTCTCCACTGTGCTTTGAAAATATGACTTGAGTACCTTCTATTAAAAAAAAAAAAAAGTCAAATGCTGTTCTTTAGATGATACTTCCTCAATCCATAAACTAAATCTCATTCTTAAAAGAGAATTTCTTTATTAGAGTGTTAATCAGGAAGTACTTTATCCATGTAATGTTAACTATTTCAATTATTTAGGCAGGGTTTGTATGTTTGGGCATTTTTCTTTATGTTTAGCTGATACTTGAGTTCTTTTTCGGGACATATGCTTTTTATATTTCCTGTTCTTGTAAGTCTGCAATGTTCTTAGGAAGTCTATTTCAGGCAAATCTAAGAAGGCAGGAAAATCAAATGAATTTCCATACCTTTATTTTCTTATCTAACTCTAATACCCTAGTGCAGAAGCCTATGATCATATTTTGACATTTTTCTTATCATGACTTAGAAAGTTCAAGCTAATGTGACTATAAAGTTTGAGGAAATTGAAATTTGATACTTCGGTGGTCAAAATGAAGAACTTTAGAAGGATGGTGTCGCTTTAATCTATGCTTTATCCCATTTTAATTTAGTGTCACTTTTGGTGTGAAGATGCAAGCGCCACAGTTGTAAGAGTTGGACAATATTCCACAGAGTGCAAGACAAAGGAAGCTGTGGAAATTCTCCACCAGCAGTTCAATAAGTATATCGTGCCCTCAGTGCCTCAGCAAGAAGAAAGAATTCAGGGTATCAGTGACCTGGCTCAGCGCTTATATGGTGAGGTCTCTTTTTAAAATATCCAGCAATTTGCCGTTGAACAAATCTATAGCGAACCAGACAGCAGAGCATGGCAAGCCCCCAGGGTCCTCACTACGGCAATTATTCAGGCAAGAGACTCAAGATAAGAGCCCATATCTATAAAAGTAAACAGTAGGGAATAGGGGAAGGAGCTTCTACCTGCAGGAGAGGAAGCCTTTGGATTTTAACTATCTTGTGTAAACCCTCCTTCTCTGTTCTCTTTTCTCCCCTATTCCTGTTGATCATCCCCAGGGTAATAAAACCAGAACAATGCTCAGTTTATGGAGACAAAAAAAAAAAAAATCTCATTTTCACGAGGGTGATTTCTGGAAAAACATGCAAAACTCCCATAATACTTTAAGTGGATGTTAAGCTAAGATTGACGTCTACACCCCTCATATTTCTATGAGGGGTGTGGTTTGTGGATTTAAGAAACAAGATGGTTTGGTTAGTGTATTTAAGGAACCATTCCTTTGCCTTCCTCTCCCTTGTGGAATAAACAGGAGAACTCGAATTATCATCTCTCTGGTTCTGCTTTTCTCTTCTCCATGACGAGGAAAGATAATACACTTGTCAGTCTCAGGAGACTTTCTATCTAAAGAAGCCCTCATTTAAGAAACCGTCTAGGTGATGACAGCCCATGGGGGTGCTGAAGAATCAGTTTCACGAATCCCCTGATATCATTCCTGTAGACCAAAGGTAGTTCCCAGTGGCCAGGCAAATCTAGCTCAGAAAGAAGATAGCAATGGGAGGCACAAAATGCTTCAGCTGGCCGCCCACACTGCTGCCAGGTGGGTATTTTCTCACGTGCCATAAAATGCTACATATGGGTAACCATAAAAATGTGTAGAACCATATATACTGTACTACCTAATATTAAATTATTGAGAATAAATTATTAATGCTTTTCCAAGGGAAAAAGATAGAAACATAAAAATAATAAAATATAGATTGAAAAATTAATGAAAACGAATGCGATGTCTCATTCCTACTGTAGTTACTTATAAGTGCACTAAAAAATTGTGAATGCCCTCTGCCTCCACAGCACTGTATGTGGTTCCCTCTATTTTTGTACTTTCCACACTGTAGAAAATTACCTGTTCATCTATCTTCTCAAGTGACCATAAGCTCCTTGAGGGCAAGGGAAGCATGTTTTGTCACTGTTTTTGAGTGCCTATTCAATTTCAGGACACAGTAAGTACTAGTTAAATTCCCCTCCCTTCATGCATATCCTGCATCCTGCTTTGTGTTCCTGGCCCTTATCACCAACTGACAGATTGTATAGTTATTTATTGTCTGGCTTTTACACCAGAGTGTAAGCTGCATGGGAGAAGGGATTTTGCCCCTTAGTTTACTGCTTCATGATACATACTAAAGTGCTTAACAAATACGTGATGAATAAATGAATCATAGACTGAATACCTTGAACAAATAAATAAAAGTCATGAATCTTCATCTGCTCAGTATGGAAGTTATGCAATTTTTAAAATTTGCAATAAGTAAGAAGCTTTAGGAATATTATATTAACTGTTACAGTTCACCCAAGCATCATTGGACCCAGAATTGTCATGCAAATAAATTTATCTCAAAAAAAATTGAGTACCTATTGTGTATGAGGAGGTGTGACTGATATAAAGACAAATAAAACTTAGTTCCTTCCTTCAAGAATCCACAGCCTAGGCCTAGAAGTCATGTTACAGTAAAGGCAGTAAGAAAAGTATGAAAAGTGTGTATTGATTTACTAGGGTTAACATCACAAAATACCACAGACTGGGTGGCTGAAACAGGAGAAATTCATTTCCCCACAGTTCTGGAGGCTGGAAGTCCAAGATGACAAGACCACAGTGCTGACAGGGTTGGTGTCACCTGAGGCTTTTCTCTCTGGCTCGCAGCTGGCGGCCTTCTTGCTGCCTTTTCACATGGGCATCCCTCTGTGCACACGCTCGCCCTGGTGTCTCTCCCTCATCTTATACCGGTGGGATCCAGTCTTACTGGATTAGAGCCCCATCCTCATGGCCTCATTTTAACTTAATCACCTCTTTAGAGATCTTATCTCCAAATGTGGTAACATTCTGAGATACTGGGGATTGAGGCTTCAACATAGGAGTTCTGGAGGAGACACAATTCAGCCCATAACAATGTGAAATATCACTTAGTTTAGACCGTGGGGTCTGTAATCCCGGTTTCAAATCTCTGCTCCTGCAGTTACTGTCTGGGTAACCTGAAGAGGCTCTCTGAGCCTCAGTTGCCTCATTTGTAAAATGCAATAGAGCCTAGAGAATCCAAGGAGAATTACATTAATGCATATAAAGCCATAGTCAAATAATAAATACTCACTACGTGGTAGCTATTTTTATTATTTTATTTATTTTTATTATTTTATTATTTTTTTATTATTCCAGTAGAGAGAGATAAAATCTACATGGGCAAGATTAAGAACATATCACAAAGATACTGGTATTTGAAGTAGACAGTAGGGGAGTGAGGGAAGGGCATTTTTGGTCCAGGAGAGAATATTCAGTGGCTGTGGGGAAGAGTCGCTGGTGCACTTTGACCAGAGACTAAATATGTGAGGGAACTACGGTGATATACATTTGGGAGAAGCACCTTGGAACCATTTCTGAATGCATAAATGAAGAATTGACAATGTTCTGAACAGGAAACGACTGATTAGAGTGGTGCTTTAAGAATATTAACATAGCAACATGATTTAGGTTACATAAAAGTGACAAGGTATAGCAAATGTAACCATTTTTCTGGGGTAACTGTTTTTTCAAAAAATGCCTTCGTTCATTTATTTATCTACTCAACAAGTATTGATTAAGCAGTTACTATCTACCAGCCTCTACACCAGACACTGGGGAGGTGAATTAATACCTGGGATTTTTTTTTTCTGCTAGGGATTTGACCTCAAAAATAGTTTTTTGTCCCTTCTCCTCCCCAGGTTTTGAAGAAGGGCAGAAATATGCTGAGAAAATAGTAGCAAAACACAAAGAGGTTCTTGAATCTATCACTGAATTATGTGTCTCTCTCACAGAGCTTGAAGAAAAGCTGAAGGTAATTTCTTCTTCCCAGAATATGTATTTTCAAGTGACATAAATAAAAACATGTTGATAAGTGTCTTCTAGTGCAAAGATGTTCTAATAGAAATTCTCAAGGGACATAATGTGCGCATTTGTTTCACAGCTTTCTAACATAATTATCTGGGTGTTTCTGATAATTAATTCTGTTTCTTTTCCATCACTGCAGAGAAAAATATTGCTGGGAATGAGGGCTAAACACAATTAAGGTGTCTCATTTACATTTTCATGGATCACATCCTAAAGGATAAATGTGTGCCATTAAAATCAAAGTAAAGTCTGTATTAAGTAGCCTTATGTTTTCATTCCCAAATAATAAATGGAAGGTTTTTTTTTTTCCTTCCAAATTGTGGCCCCAGAGAAAATAAAACTAAATCTTCAGGTATTATATTCACTGAATATTTAGCTTCATGGAAGTATTAAACTAATCATTAGCATCCTTCATGAAATAAAAAGTTGATGGAATAAAGAATAGAAAGTATGTTGATGCCTAATGCCTAGGCAAATCCAGTTAAAAGAGAGAAATGCATATATTGTTTTGTCTGTATTTTGTGAAAACTAGCTTCATTAGTACTGTTTCAATGACTGGCTGAAAGAATTGGTTACTTAGGAGGGAGAGAATAATGAAGTAATTAAGAACATAGAGTAAAACACAGAGTAAAATACAGCTGCCTAGGAATACCAATTCTCCAAATTACTGGATTTGTGATTTGGGGTAAATTACTTCATCTCTTTGCATCTCAGTTTCTTGATCTGTACAATGGAGTGAATAGGGGAATCTCATCACAGAGTAACCCCAGGAATTGAAATGTGAAGACACCCATAATTATTGTGATCATTGTTGATATCAAGACATAAGGGTGCTCTTGTAGTTCAGAGCAGAATTATATTTCTAGCAATCATTTTTTCTGTATGAATTTACATGTCATAAATTTGAGTACTCAGTCCATTCAAAATAGTTTGCTAAGCTTTTAATTGAGTGAGTGACCAACCAGATTATCTTTATTCCTTAAGAAACTAGATTTTCAACTTTTTTTACCATTTTATATAACACTGCAATGAACATCTTCACACATAAAGATTTTTTTTTCTCTTGTATTGTTCCCTACACATAAACTCTCCAGAGCAGATTTGGGTAAATGAGCATGAAATTGTTAATGTTTCTAATATACATATGTTAAATTACATTCCACAAACATTTTACAATTTTAATGCCACCAGTAATGTATGAATGTGCCATATGCATATTATCTTTTTAAACAATGATCATTTCTTCTCCACCTCCACCCAGCCCTCTAAGGATCTGTTTCTTCTCCTGACTTCCAGTACACAGCTTGAAAATCGCTGCTTCCTCTGACTCTTTGCTCTTTATTATCTACAACAGCCCTCCCATTTCTGTTGTACATCTTCAAGTGAGGTCCACTAAAAAAAATTTACCCTATCCCTGTCTCCTTTTCACCTTCATGACTATTCTTTCTGAAAGCTCTTGCCACTCCCTCTCCCCACTTCCTCATTCCCCATTCCTTTTACACCCCTTAGTCAGGATTGCACCCTCTTTTCCTCATTTTCAACCCATCACTTGGATTCCCTTTTGCATTAGTCAGGAGCCTCCTAATTATACACTCTAGCTAGATTAACCTTCCTACATACAGCTGCTAGTATTGTTTTTACATTCAAAGCACTTCACTACAAACTCTTCATTGCTTACCCAAAACAGTTGAAAATCAAAGCCTTTTTTCATTGTTCTGAGGCTGAGTCTTTCCAAATTAGTGTTCTTCTATATTCATTGTAGGTCCCTGTCTCACTGGTGTACTACCCCAGATTCCTGAATTTTCTGCTTCTAAACCTTCATGTACATGACCTTCTCTCTCTGCTTATCTAAATTTTACCATCTCTCAAAGCCAAACCCAAATGTTGCCTCCTTTACAACTCCTTTGAAGGCTGTGTCCCTGTCTCTCTGATTCCCCAGAGCACTTGTGTTCTTTCCTACTATAATCATCACATGTAACTACCATCACTACCCCAACTCTTCTACTTGATTACACCTGAGGAAACCCTATGGCTCTGTTCAGTTTAGGGTCCCACATGACATTTAACACTGTGCTTTGCCCAAAGCAATTTCTCCAGAAAGAGTTTTGGCATTTGTAGTAAAAACTCAAAGGATTAGTACAGAGAAAAAGAATCATTCAATAGCTCAGAAAAGATTGATTTGGGTGGATATAAAAACAAGGAAGGGCCTCTCTGGCAATAGTTATGGGCATCAGCAAGGCTCTTACAAGTTAGAGCCTGAACAAAACTTGTCAAAGAATGCTTACTAACACTTTACAGATATTTGCATGAGAGCATAAAAGTCTAGTTTTTATGTTTTTAAGGTTGATGCTATGGCTATTTTGTAGGAGTTATTAAAAAAGGCCTAGAAATCACTATCAAGGCTGAAACAGTGATAATAATCCTTTATATTTGTATTAACAATTTGAGATTTACAAAGGCTTTTCGTATATATTACTTCAGTGATTTCCAAATAACCTTGTGATGGTGATATGGCAAATGTTGTTTTCCTATTTTATGTATTTTAAAGATTTTATTTATTTATGAACAGGGGCGGGAGGGGCAGAGGGAGAGAAGCACAAGCAGACTCCATGCTGAGTGTGGAGTCAAATGCAGGGCTCCATCTCACAACCCTGAGATCATGGCCTGAGCTGAAACCAAGAGTCGGATGCTTAACCACTCAGGTTAATGAGCCACCCAGGTGCCCCATTTTCCTTGTTTTAGAGGTAGAGTTCAAAGAAGGTAAAAGTGCTTTGCCTGGGGTCTCACCATCAGTAGTGGTAGAATCGAGAATTAAATACAATTCAAAATCTAGCATTCTTTCCACAACAACTGCCATTTTGAGATTAGATATCAAGAGTACCTTATCCACTAACACCAACCAGCTTACGTTTTGAAGTTGGACTAAAAGCTGAATCTCTCCCCAAATTCTCTGAGTCCATATAGCACATGCACTTTGAGGAGTGTGCTATTTTCTTAAGGCCCATCTAACGACCATGTTCCAGGTGGAATAGAGAATGTTCTGGTGTGGTATAATCCATCATCCTAAACTTGGTGTACCTGAGGCCCCTTTCACCTTTACAAAGACTTCTCAGCCCTCACAGGGGCTCCCCAGCAGCTTGCAAACCCTTGTACTTCCATGACTAAAACAGCTCCATGAATGATAGGAGTAAAATATCATCACCCACAGGAAGCATCCTTTGTTCTCAATTTTTTTCTTTACCATACTCAGTGATCTTTTCTTCCTCTCTTCAAGTTTCCCAAGCATTTGCTTATGTAAATTCTCTGGATTTCCTTTTTGTTCTCCACCAAAATCTTCAAACATTTCTTCCTTCGCACTGTTCCCCTAGACTCTCCTAATGGCTTAGACTGCCATGTACGATGATTCCTTTCTCTAGAGAATGCTCCTGAAGGTATATCGTACTGCAATAATGACTTTGTTCTGGCTGGGCCTTTGAACAACCAATTTTTATGGCAATGAATTTTATCAAAGGAGTGAGGTAGATGGGAAACTGTGAGCTTGACAAGATAATTTTGTAAATCACATCATGGGAGTAGTCAGTCTCTTGTGGAATACATTTCCTGAAAGGTTCCAACTGGTCTGTGTTTTCTTCCAAGTGGTTATTGTGTAGCACTGTACCTCCAACTTTCCTGGCCCAGGCTCTCACTTTAAACACTGCTTTGTACAGCAGGGAGACATTTTAAAGACAAATGTAAATTTGGAAGACTTCCATGATGACTTCATCGACCTGCTAAAAGAACCAGCAAGAAATAAGCAGACAGTATTCAATGAAGAAAGGAATAAGGTAAAGAAAACTATGTAATCTCAGTTATTCATTTTGTTTTGAGGTTAGAGTCCTTGTTCATTGAAAAAAAAAGGGGGGGGGGAATTGAAGCCTTGTTATCTACCTGAATCAAATCTTTCAATATACATGCAATGTGAGTGTCCTTACCCTGTGCTTTCTTTCTACCCCTTACTTAGTCCTTCTTCCACCTATGCTATTTTCCTCTGAGCGCTTCCTACTTAGTAGTGGGACCACGGCATTGCACAGTGGTATTGGGACCACGGCATTGCACAGTGGTATTGGGATAGCCATTCAGTCACCATACTGTCACTCCAAACCACTTCTATTTCTCCCACCATTAGCTGCCTCTCCCATTTTCCTTTTATAGTCAATCCCAACTTCAAATTTGACTTCTCTCTATCATACCACCAAGCTATGGTTCTGATGTTTTACACTACCCACTGGAAAACCTTAGTACATGAACTTAGCTTGTGTCTTATTCCACCGAAGCTATCTCCAAGATGATATTTCCAGGTACATATACTAAAACATAGAATCCAACTGAAATATAAATACTAAAGCAGAGAAATTTTTAAATTACTTTAAAATCTATGTATTACAGATAAATTAAACATGTAGCAAAAACTGCAAATATTCACAAAATGCAAATGTTCCATGATTTCAAAAGCATTATTTAAATCACGTCATTATGGATTTTCAGTATAAGCTGCTCACTCTCTATTCATAGTTGCTGGACTCTAATTAGCTCCTATCATTTTGCTTTGCCAAGTTTGCTTCTAGTGTTTCTCTTTCTCCCAAGGAACTGAAGGAACAAACAGAGTCAACATTATTCTCAACTGCCCCCAAATTAATAAAGTATACTTCTTGTGACATGAGAATTTAAAATAAATATCTCCCCACTTTCTCGTAGAGAAAAATTTCTTTCCTTGAAGTCAGTATAATTCTTAGATCATCTATATAAACTTTTATAATCTTTTCCACAGGTTAAATCTATGTCAAGGTCTACTGCAATTATACAATCTGCAGGCAGCAAGTATCATTATGCAAACTGGCTTTTTTGCGGTATGGTCTTGAAGCATTTAAGCCCTGATTCTACTCTGAGGCAAAGGAAAGCAGCCAAACCTTGATCACTTTGTTAAATCTTAGTCTTATATCAAATTGTCTTTCATTATTGTGATTGGTCTATCAGTGTTTCTCAATCTCAGTATATTGACATTTTGGTGCAGAGAATTCTTTGTTATGGAGTGCTGTCCTGTGCATTACAGGATATTTAGCAACATTCCTGGCCTTTATCAACTAGATGCCAGTGGCACCCCCCCCCACAACTCACCAAGTTGTCATAACCAAACAACATCCATGAACATTGCCAAATGTTCCCTGGGGAGCAAAATCACCCTTGATTGAGACCAAATTGTTGAAATAGTAAAGAATAACATTCAGTGCATCACATTTTCTTAACTAGGTTTCTTTCTTTTTTTTTTTTCCCCTAAGACTTTATTTATTTATTTGAGAGAGAGCAAGTGAGAGAGAGAGCACAAGCAGCAGGGAGTGGCAGAGGGAGAGGGAGAAGCAGTCTTCCCACTGAGCAGGGATTCCGATCTGAGGCTTGTTCCCAGGACCCCGGGATCATGACCTGAGCCGAAGGCAGGCACTTAACCTACTGAGCCACCCACATGCCCCTTCGTAACTAGGTTTCTAAGAGATACTAAATTCAACTTATTTTTTAAATTCTGCACATTGTCCACACTGTCAACCACTAATTTACTAAGAATTGAAGTGAAGGTCATTGATACCAAAGCAAACACATTCATTTATACTTAGTAAATATGAATTTTCTTTCTTTTATTTATTTTTCTTAGAAAAAAATTAAAGGAACAGATTCCTTTAAATAAAAAAGCAAGATTTATTTTCATTGAGAAATTATTTATTTATTTATTTATTTGAGAGAGAAGAGTAAGAGAAACAGCATGAGAGGGGAGAGGGTCAGAGGGAGAAGCAGGCTCCCCACTGAGTCAGGAGCCCGATGTAGGACTCGATCCCAGGATTCTGGGATCATGACCTGAGCTGAAGGCAGTTGCTTAACCAACTGAGCCACCCAGGCACCTGAGAAATCAATTTTATTTTAATATAAATTAAAAGGTCTTCTGTTATTTAGTATAATAGTGAAGGCCCACAATTATAACTGTCAAAAACTCTCACTGACATCATTTACATATACATTCTGGTGCAGTTGGCACAGAGAGCAAAATGAAAGGATGAAAGTAATCTTCCCCTTAAATAGCTCAATCACATTTACCATTTTATTGTCTCTATCATTTATATTATGAGTCAGATGTAATGATTTCCCAAAAACCATGTGGACAGATAACAAAAATCACCAAGTAAAAAAAAAAGCTTATCTGGGAATCATTGTGTCCAATTCTGTGTCCAACCCAAATGGTGTTGATCTTCCTTGGAAAGTTATTTGACTCAGAAAGAACAATTCCAGAAGTGTTTGGTCAGAGGAAGATGGCAGTGGAGTAGGAGGGCCCTGGGCTCCTCTTGTCCCATAAACACAACTAGATAACTATCAAATCATCCTAAATATCCCAGAAATCAACCTGTAGACAGACAGAACAAACTCTATAACTAAAGGGAGAGAAGAGGCCATATCAAAGAAGGTAGGAAGTATGAAGATGTGGTTTAAGGGAGAAACAGATCACAGATGCTGTGGACACAAAGAAAGGTGAGAGAGGAGCACAAGGAGAACATTTCCCCAAAGACGTTGGCTTGGAAAACAAGGGGCTAAATTTTGTGAGTTCTTGCAACCAGCAGGGCTTAAAATCTGGAGTTTTAAAGGTCAGCAGGTTTGGCTGGGATAGAACCCAGAGGGCACTGCCCTGCTCCTAGAGAGAAGGCAGGCAAACAACGTGGGGACAGACAGCATGGAAACAGCAATCTGAAGAACACCTGGGGCACACAGTAGGGAGATTATTCACTCTTCTTGGAGTGGAGTGCATTCCTGAGAGGCAGTGTTTATGGAAATGCCTCTCCAGGAACAAAGAAGCTGGATGACACCATTTTCCTCCCCCACCCCATCTATGGGAAGCAGTGCAGTGCCAACACTAGCTGCCTAACTTGCTTACACCAAGCCCCACACCCCTGTGTTCTCAGGGGGCTTCCCCTCTCGATCAAGCTTATCTCAGTCCTAGCACAGCAGCCCCTCCCCTGAACACTAGTACAAACCCCTGCCCACACCGTGTCTCCTCACCAGAGTTCTGCAGGGCCTCAGTTATGGTGGAGGTGGTGTCTGATCTCATTTCACAAGCGGACCAGAGCACATGTAGTTAAAACTCACCACATGCAGGCAGAGAACCAAACACTGCCCACAGCAGGCAAGAGAGCCTCTCCAGATGACTAGCCTGAGGGATAAAGCAGACAAAACACAACAGCAGAGCACAGGTAGCACACACCAGAGACACTCCCTGAAGTGTCAGGCACTGGGCACTACATGACTTCTTCATTAGGCCATTACTTTCAGGAGCAGAAGACATCACTGGCTTTTCTAACACAGAGAAGAAGGCAGAGACTTAGACAAAATATGAAGATGGCAGAATTTATCCCAAATGAAAGAACAAGATAAGGCCATGGCCAGAGATCTAGTAAAACAGATATAAGTAACATGCTTGATGGAAAATTTAAAGCAACAATCATAAGGATACTCACAGGACTTGAGAAAAGAATAGAGGTCATCAGTGAGACCCTTCACAGAGAAAAGAGTTAAAAAAGAATCAATTAAGAGTTGAAGAGCACAATAAATGGGTTTGGAAATATGCTCCATGTAATGAACAGCAGGCTGGAAGAAGCAGAGGAATGAATTAGTGACCTAGAAGACAAAATACTGCAAAATAATGAAGCTGAACAAAAGAGAGAAAGAGAATTATGCAACACAAGAATAGGCTTAAGGAACTCAGTGACTCCATCGAACATAATAACATTCATATTATAGGAATCCCAGAAGAAGAAAGAGAAAAGAGGGAAGAAACTTTATTGGAAGAAATAATAGTGGGGTACCTGGGTGGCTCAGCAGATTGTCTGCCTTTGGCTCAGGTCACGGTCCCAGGGTCCTGGAATATTGAGCCCCACGGTGCGCTCCCTGCTCAGTAGGGAGCCTGCTTCTCCCTCTCCCTCTGCCTCTCCTCCCTGTGCTCTCTCACTCTCAAATAAATAAATAAATAATCTTAAAAAAAAAAAAGAAATAATAGCTGAAAACTTCCCTAATCTGGGGAAGGTAACAGATCAAGGAGGCACAGAGAACTCCCATCAAAATCAAACAAAAGTAGGCCAACACCAAGACGTTTGCCACTAAATTTGCAAAATATAGCAATAAAGAAACAATCTTAAAAGCAGCAAGACAAAAGAAGTCCTTAACTTACAAGGGTAAACCCACAAGGCTAGCTGGAGATTTCTCAACAGAAAAATGACAAGCCAGTAGAGTGGTATGATATATTCAGCATGCTGTATGGGAAAAATCTGCAGCCAAGAATATTCTGTCCAGCAAGGCTATCATTCAGAATAGAAGGAGAGATAAAGAGTTTCCCAGACAAACAAAAACTAAAGAAGTTCATGACCCTAAACCAGCCCTGCAAGAAATATTAAAGGGGACTCTTTGATGCAAAGAGACCAAAAATGACAAAGACAAGAAAGGATCAGAGAAAATCTCCAGAAGCAGTGAAAAAACAAATAATAAAATGGCAATAAATACATATCAATAATTACTTTGAATAAATGGGCTAAACCCTGCAGTCAAAACACATGGGTTTCAGAATGGATCAAAAAAACCCACCAAAAAATGACCCATTATATGCTGCCTTCAAGAGACTCATTTTATTTTTTTTTAATTTTTATTGTTATGTTAATCACCATTAACATAACATTAATCATCATTAGTTTTGGATGTAGTGTTCCAAGATTCATTGTTTGTGCATAATACCCAGTGCTCCACGCAGAACGTGCCCTCTTTAATACCCATCACCAGGCTAACCCATCCCCCCACCCCCTCCCCTCCAGAACCCTCAGTTTGTTTTTCAGAGTCCATCGTCTCTCATGGTTGGTTTCCCCCTCCGATTTCCCCCCCTTCATTCTTCCCCTCCTGCTATCTTCTTCTTCTTTTTTTTCTTAACATATATTGTATTATTTGTTTCAGAGGTACAGATCTGTGATTCAACAGTCTTGCACAATTCACAGCACTCGCCATAGCACATACCCTCCCCAATGTCTATCACCCAGCCACCCCATCCCTCCCACCCCCCACCACTCCAGCAACCCTCAGTTTGTTTCCTGAGATTAAGAATTCCTCATATCAGTGAGGTCATATGATACATGTCTTTCTCTGATTGACTTATTTCACTCAGCATAACACCCTCCAGTTCCATCCACGTCGTTGCAAATGGCAAGAAGGAGACTCATTTTAGACCTAAAGACAGATGCAGATTGAAAATGAGGGGATGGAGAAACATTTATCATGCAAATGGATGTCAAAAGAAAGCCAGAGTAGCAATATTTATCAGACAAGCTAGACTTTAAAACAAACACTGTAGCAAGAGACAAAGGATACTATATAATCATAAAGGGGACAATCCAATAAGAAGATATAACAATTGTAAATATTTATGCATCCAACATGGGAGCACCCAAATATATAAAACAATTAATAATGAATATAAAGGAATTGATAATAATACAAAAATAGTAGGGGACTTTAACACCCCACTTATATCATTGGAAAGATCACCTAAACAGAAAATAAACAAGGAAACAATTCCTTTGAATGACACACTGGACCTGATGGACTTAGCAGATATATTCAGAACATTCCATCCTAAAAAAGCAGAATACACATTATTATCAAGTGCACATGAAGCCTTCTCCAGAACAGATCACATACTAGGTCATAAAACAGGCCTCAACAAATACAAAAAGATTGAAAGCATACCACCTTTTCTGCCCACAATGCTATGAAGCTGGAAGTCAATCATAAGAAAAAATTCTGAAAGACCACAAGTGCATGGATGTTAAACAACATCCTACTAAACAATGAATGGGTCAACCAGGAAAAGAAATTAAAAAAAAAAATACATGGAAACAAATGAAAAGGAAAAAACAACAGTCCAAAACTTTTAGGACGCAGCAAAAGTGGTCCTAAGAGAGCAGTATATAGCAATACATGCTTACTTCAAGAAGCAAGAAAAATCTCAAATAAACAACCTAACCTTACACTTGAAGGAGCTAGAAAAAGAATGGATGACCCTCAAATCAACAAATGTCCCTACTGTAAAGGAGCTTGTAGCGCAGTAGGAGCGGGAATTCCCAAAAGGTGACCCGAATGATAAAAGTCCTAGAGTCAAGGCAGAAGAAGATCTGGAGGTTTTAGTTCAATGAAAGAGACTGAGAGGTTGTGGCACCAATTCTCCAAATAGTCAAAAGGCTGTTAAAAGAGGAGAGCAGTTCGACATCTATGTCGCTCTGGGAGGCCAATTCAGATCCATTGTTGGATACTGAGTGAAGGCCTGTCTTCACTAAATACAGGAAGAAATTCTTAATACAGGTAAAGCATAAAATTATTTTCAAAGAAAGCACCCTTTCGGGAAAAGTGTTCAAACAGAGGCTACCAGAATGTCATAGAGGAGATTACCTGGACTAAACAGGAAGTTGGATCAAAGTCCCTGTGAAAAGGAAAATAAAGGCAGAGCTAAGCCGAAGTAGGAAAACTAAAAGAATGAGGGGCATTTCCTATTGTCTCTGTGTTTATTTAGTAATTTTTTTTTAATGACAAGGACTTTTAAAAACTTTTGGCTTGGTTTTTGGACCCAGAGTTTAAACTTCTACTAAATTGGGGCACCTGGGTGGCTCGGTCATTAAGCTTCTGCCTTCAGCTCAGGTCATGATCCCAGGGTCCTGGGATAGAGCCCTGCATCAGGCTCCCTGCTCAGCGAAGAGCTTGCCTCTCCCTCTCCCACTCCCCCTGCTTGTGTTCCTGCTCTCACTCTCTCTCTCTGTCTGTCAAATAAATAAATAAAATCTTTTAAAAAAATAAAAAATAAACTACTAAATGGCTGAAGGAAACAACTTTCTCTAAAGCCATGCTTATACTTTCTCTGAGGATAATTTGTATCTCTGGGGTGGGGGGTGTAGAAGGAACATTGTTTTGTTTTTGCTTCTGATCTTCAACCTGAAAACACACTTATTTCTCAAAAATTATTTATAAAGTATGTGTCAGGGGCAGGACTATGAGCTAAAATGCAGAACTCAAAATCAAGGCAAGACCTAACCTTCTTGTGTGCAAGCAGTAGCAAAGGGACAAAACCTGGTAATTGCTAAGTAAGTAAAAATGCACCTAAATACTGAAGAAAGGCAAAAAAAAAAAAAAAAAGTGATATAAAACAACAGGTTGAGATAGATGAGATCCTTTTCAGCTCCAATGCTCTTTTGAGTCTATGCCAGGAAGGATATTTGAGCGTCTTCTGAAACCAGAGATGGATGTGGATTAGTGGGGAGAATTACTAGTCCAGCATAAGCAGGAGGTAAAGTACTGCTGTTCACGGTCTCCTAGCATGGCCTGCACTCCACATGGCATGGAAAGATAAGTGGCCGATCTTCCTCTTTCATATCTTGTGTTCTCTTGTGAAAGACCGTAACCTGTGATTGTCCCATTAATATCTATCTCTCCCACTAGGCTGTTATCTCCCTGAGGGCAGAGACTGGGTTTACTTTTACTCATGTCATCTCACCAATGCCTGGCATGGTACCTAGTATGAAACAGGTGTTCAACAGATACTTTTTCATGGAAGAATAAAAATAAGGGGCTTTAAGAAAATAAAACCAGTCATGAAAAATGGCTTTTTCCATATGGAGTAAATAGAGTTGTCAAATTCATAAAGACAGAAAGTAGAAGGGGCTGGTGGGAGGGGAGAATGGGGAATTTAGTGTTTAATGGGTACAGAGTTTCAGTCTGGAAAGATGGAAAAGTTCTGGAGATGGATGATGGGTGGTTGCCCCCGTGTGAGTGTACTTAATGTCTTTGAACTGTACACTTAAAAATGGTTAAAATGGTAAATTTTGTGTTGTATATATTTTACCACCTATAATGATAATAATAAAGAATGGCTTTTCTAAGAAAGAAAGAGAGATTATTCTTAGGAGGGTCAGAGGGATTGCCTAACAAGGGAGCCTCTGAGATTTAGGAGCTATGCATCCCCATGGAGTGTAGACAAATAAAACAAAGCAGAATTTGCGGGTGGGAGGAGATTCCTCAGATCATATTTTGGAAGACATTGATCCATTTCAACCTGCTCATTAGAGATGAAAACTAGGGCTTTCTTGCCTCTGTTTCCCAAGGTCTATACATTTCATTCAGAGCCTGGAGGTCAGTTTACCAGTTCCTTAGGCATGGCATGGGACTGGGCCCAGGTTCCGCAGACCTATGGTTTCAAGTTCTGTACCACTGGTGCCAGCGCCCCAGCCTTTAACTCACTGTTTTTCTCAGATTGTCTGTCTGATGGAGTTTGAGACCTGGAAAAAGAAAACACAGTGACTAACCCAAAGCTTTGGCTTTTCTGTTCTGAAGGCACAGGTAGCAGGTGTTTGGGCCATCAGTGGAACAGGAGAGGGTCAGCGCCCCCCGCACCTGAAGCAGCCACCCTGTGACAGAGAGGGTGCTGTCCAAGGCCGGCTCCTGCCTGCAGACATACTTTCAGGAGAAGAATACGAATGCGTCTCACCTGATGACCTCTCCTTGCCTCCACTCTCGGGAAGCCCCGATTCCCCCCTTGCCGCGGCCGCCGTGGACGTGGAGCAGCATGCCAGCCCTGCCCTCAGCCTTCACACAAGCAGCTACAGGATGCAGACCGGGGCCAGCAGTGCAGGGGAGGCCCAGGAATCGGGCATGCCACCACCTGCTGCTTTGGCTGATGCTTACAGTGATAACAGAGAAACCTTTTCAAGTCATTTTGAGAGGCCTTACCCCCAGTCCAAAGCTGAGCTCCCATTAACCTCCCGAGGATTTCTGGAAAAAAGTACTGCCTTCTGCAAAATCAGTGCTAAACATCCAGAGAGCATGCCGAGTGAAGTGCATGAGAGAGCTTCACAGCAGCACCCTCAGGCTCAGGGAAGTTTGCTAGAAACACAGGAGAAAGTGCATGTTGATAATAACATCACTAAAACCCGAGACAGGCTGCATGCTTCCCAGGATGCATTCTCAGGCCTTGGGTTTCGATCAGGCCCCAGCCGGGCCTATCAGAGGCAGATGGTCCCCCAAGAGGAGATTAAATGTACATCAGCAAAGAACACGGTGGTCAGCCTCGCTGGCCAGGCTCCTAATTTCTCCAGGCTCCTGTCTAATGTAACTGTCATGGAAGGTTCTCCAGTGACTTTGGAAGTTGAAGTAACAGGATTTCCAGAGCCTACACTGACATGGTGGGTAGCTTATAATGACAAGTCATAAACGCATTGAATGACTGAGCAAATCATTCTATGTGCACTAACTTAAAGGTGTAGGGATAGCTTATTAATATTCTGTAACACTGCAACTGTGCATGATTCAACCTCACACCAACCCCCAGTTCTCCCTGTAGGCACAACATGGCTAATACCCAGAAGAAGCAAAAGGAACCACATAAAATAATAACTTACCCAACTCCAAAAGCACTGCAACTTAACTGCACTCTTTTGTGGGGTTTTTTGTTTTGTTTTATTTTTCCTATTAGTTTAACATTCCACATTTCTGAAGATTTTGGGTTGAAATTGTTTCCTATTGCTTATTTCTGCATAAGCATGACATTTCTTAGCTTAATATCCCGTATTCGATTAAAAAACATAAGAATTTGGGTTTTCCCCTTTTCTTTCATTTACCCATTTCATCTTCTCCCTCTTCCTAACAGAGTCACACATCACTTTTGTAATATTTGTTTGTTTCACTAAGATTTCTTTCTATAAATTTCTTCAGTGTGAAAGATGGAATAAAAATATTTCTTTCACAGTTGCTCCCAGTGACAGGTAATAAACCCATTTTTGAAAGGTGGTGTAATAACTGAGCTGTGAACAATAGGATTTCCCTCTGGAGACATCATTATTTTTTAGCATATTTGTTTTAATAGAAAGTAAACTGCAGAATACAGGTTTTGAATCACTGTTATTTTAAAAGTAGTTCTCACTTTCTTACTACGTGGGTTGCTTCTAAACATTTAGAAATTTTTCATCTGTAAGTAGATTTATCTGAGGACAAAGTTACAAATTTGTGAGACTGAGTTCATACTCATAAACTAAGATAAGTAAAACAGCATTTACTTATCATAGTATTTCAGTAGACATTACATTAACAATTTCAACTATTATGCGTGCCCACTGATGATACTTGAAGTGTGAGTTGCTTATCTAAAGAATCTATGAGAAAACTCTGGTCTCTCAGATGATGAAAAGAGACTACACTTGTGATACAGTGCAGCCATTCATGCTTTTGTCTTATTGTTTTTAAAATTGCATGTTTTTTTAATAGATCAGGAATTTCATATTTATGAATTTAAAAAATATTTAATTCATTATTAAATATCAGTTCATCCCAAAGAAAAATGTTGTCTGCAGTGTTTCTTGGTTTTGTCCACACAACAAATAACTTGGTTAGTATTTATTGTTGAAGAATTATCATAATATTGTGAAAAAATACCTTGCTTTTGGATTTACAGTGGTTTTGCTCAATTAGCAGCCAGCAAGCTCTTGGAAATAAACATTCTTAGGACACTCATAAAAATGCAAAATTATCACATAGGCAATGGGAACAGAAAATGATTCAGGTTTGTCACCGCTTCTTAGGTGAAGGAACATGGGTATGAATAAACAAGAATCTAGAATATACAAAATAAATTGCTTTCTAAAAAGAGGCAGCTAAGTACTCGTGTTCATAGGAAACTTTTAGAAACATGTCATTAACAGTAATAATCCAATTATATAAATGCCTTTTACAATTATAAATCATTTTCTTCTAATGAAATTAATTCATAAAAATGAACTCATTTCACCAGGAAATGTTGTATAAGTACCTTCCTCTAAAATAGCATGTTTTTATTCTCACATGATCTTGTGGGGTGAATATGATGGGGTGGATGAGTCTCACTCCAACATAGATTCTCAGAACTCACAGGATGCTATTCCATAGCAGCTGAAAGAATGACACAAGCCAAATAGAGGGGTGCCATTTCACACTCTCAGTAATTGTTGCCGTAAGCAAATGGTGGCCCTCTGTGACCAGATGGTTTGGGTTTTTCTTGTGTTTTGTTGTTGTTGTTTGTTTGTTTTAGAGAAGGAGAGAGAGAGGTAGGGGGTGGGTAGGGACAGAGGGAGAGGGAGAAAGAGAATCTTAAGCAGGCTCCAGGCCCAGTGTGGAGCCCCACGTGGTGCTCAATCTCATGACCCTGAGATCATGACCCGAGCTGAAATCAAGAGTCGGGTGCTCAACTGACTGACACAGCCAGGCACCCTGTTTGGGTTTTTTTTTTTTTAAAGAATAGTTGGATATCTGAATTTTCACATGCAATATTCCAACTGTTAAATGTTGTCCAAAAAGTCAGTTTTTTGAAAAATATGGTCTGACCTGATCAAGCACTTCTCAGGCCACAAGTCTCCAACCTCTGCTTGAAGGATGAAAGGCCCATTGGAATCTGTGGTAGCTGCAAAGTTCCTGCTAATACTAGAGAGAGAAAGTACTACAATGGTAATGGGCTTGTTTGCAATGGTTTTTAGAGCTTAGAAATGATGTGAATATACAGTGATCCTGACTTTAAAACTGACTCTCTGCTTCAGGTACAAGAAGGGCCAGAAATTGTCTGCAGATGGGCACTTACAGGTTTTACACAAGGAGACAAGACATTCGGTGTTCATTCCAAAGGTATGTGAGGCAGACGCAGGCCTCTATGTGGCTCGGGCCCAAAACTCTAGTGGCATTTTCTCTTCCAATGTCATCCTCCACGTGACAGGTAACCACAGGCCGCCAATCACAAGAATAAACTGGGTAATGCTGTGTGTCATCTACATTAGTGTGTCCCTAATGTACTGGGTACTCGCACAGTAACTGTGGGGTTGTCGCTCTTGGACATCATTCTCATGAGCCTAAAGAACGACCCCATGGTTGTTTCTTTTACTGCATCTCTTATATTTGCTTGCCTCTCTCCACCAAGTGTACCCACATTCTAGTCATGTTGTTTGTTTGGCTAACACCAAACTCAGCGAAATAATCATATTTTCTCTAGTGTTTTAGTATATTTGAGGAGCCTGGTAAATTCTTAGCAGTGGATAAGCATACATTTTTGTATTGTAGAAAGAGATGTGTTCAATATAAAGCCCAGTAAGATTACACAATGTTTACTCCATCCTCACTTAAGAGCATGTATATCAAGGCTCGCATCAGCAGAGAGGTGTGAGTTAAATTTCAAATCCAATTGTTTGATAATTTATTTTTAATTGTACTCATAAACATCTCTGTAGAATAACAGGAGAAATATTGAAGTGAACCTGTAATTTACCTTATCACATCAGCTGTCCTTTTGTTGCGTTTCATGTCTTGATCTCATTTATCAAAATACATTCTATGTAGTTTCAACCTAGCCTACCTTCCTAAATCTGAGGTGGCCACTGTAAATAGTCATTTCTTGTTGATCTCACGGGTTTCACCATGGCGAATAGATGTGCTGTCAACTTCAGAGGGAGTTTCAAACTTCCATCAGCTGCACCTGTCATAGAGCAAACTGGAACACAGGCTGCAGATGGACCAACATAATACCTGTCATGCCACGGTCACGTTTTGGGCAGCCACATATATACGATGGCAACCTGTTCCTCCTGCATCTTCTCTTGATTCTGCTGCTGACCATTTTTTGCAGCCTGTGGTATAGACATCTCAATGCCTTAGTTTCCCATTTGAAAAATGGGTTCATCATCTACCTCTCGGGCAATTGAGAGTTTTCTTTTCGTGTCTTGTAAAGATTTGGAAAATAGAAAGCATTCTATGAAGGCTGAAGGTAATTCTATTGTTTGATGCGACTTATCATCACACTGCCTCCTGCCCACTATTCTCGTTCAGATGCTGTTTCTTTAGAATATTAGAATGGTATTAGTCTCTGATTTCCAACCTTTCCCATGAGGGGAGGTGATGTATTATGAATTGGAACTTAAATTCCTTTCTAATTTCTTAAGATTACATCTTTTTCAAAGACTTGAAATTAAACTTAGGAAGATGCATTTAGTATGATCTAGGGGAAAAAGTATGTAATAAGACAACATAAAGTGAATTCTATCCTTTTCTTCTAATTATCACTGTAATATTGAAGAATTTTCTATGCATTTCTGAAATATATTATTCAGAAAAGAGGACCTTTTTTAGTTCCCTCTAAAAATAAACATGAATGAGAGAAGCATTTGTTTTTAAATTTTAAACATAGTCTTGTCATGGTAGAACAAAATCTTTAGTTGAAAGAATATAATAGATTTCTGATGAAGGGAAGGAATTAATTATGTTGCTGTAAGACTATCTACAATAATAAAAATACTTAAAAGTAATGTATTCAAATAATGTATAGAATTTGGGTAAACTGTAATCTTTTAGGGTTCTGAAAACACTCTATTACATTTTGTTGAATTAATGAGTCTCGTAATAAGTAGAAAAAAATAATATATTCAAGTTAATATTAAAAAGCTACTGAATGTTATTTGAAGATATGAAATGTGTGCTTGAGTAAAGTTGACATATTTTTTTCTGTGCATCAATTTACTTAAACAATTAAATCTCTTAATTTTCTTCCAAATATCGACAGAAACCAATTAAAAGCTTATATATATACAATGTCCTAGGGAACTCACAGTCTCTTAAGTCTCCTATCCATTTTATCCACTTTCACATATTTTACATGTCTTGCCTAACTGCTATTCCCATGTTGAAGCTAAATAGTAAAATCTAGTCATGTCCAAAGAGGGCAGGCAGGACCAGGTAAGAAATTCTTGTCTGACCCTCTGTCTCTTTCTTGTTAATTTAGTAAGATCTTCTTTCCCATTTTGTCATCTTGGTTGAATTTGTGGCTAGAGGTTATTAGGGCATGGGACTTGCTTGTTTGCTTTACATGTTGCATGCCTGTTAAAGGCTAATGGGGAGCATTAGTGGGCAGCAGGGTGGGATATATATATATCCATCTATCCATGGTGTGTGACTAAATAAGGTATAAACCCCGGGTGGATTTGATACATATATCAAATATAATATGTATTTGACATATATCAAATATATGTATATACACATATATGCACATACACATCGAGCTCAAATATTGGGAAAAAGCATTAGGCTGATATTCTAGATATAGTTCAGCTAGCTATCTGTATATCACTCTATCTGTCCAACCATTCATCCATCTATCCATCCATCCATCCATCCATCTGGTCATCTATCCATCCATACATCTATTTACATACCTATCTACCTACATATTCTTTTGTGCTATCAATTGACTATCTAGTAATTCCCACAGCAGTGAAGAATAATTAGCTATTCAGTTATTCTTCCAGTTATATTTTAATTTCAAAGACTTAAGTGTGATTTTCCTTTTGCTAGGATTTCTGTCTTGATCAAAGAAGTCTCCTTATGAAAGTATGAACTAAAATTATTGATTAAAAATGAAAAACCTAGGCAAATGATGTTCCTTTTTAAAGATATATATACTATTTATACGCATTTTCTTCTAGAGAAAATTCCGGACAGTTAGTAATATCAAAACACTTCTCAACAAGAAAATGTAAATGACAAGGAAGATTAAAAAGAACATGTACTTGACACCTTGAAGGAACGCAACACAAAATCTGTTTTGAGCTTCCTAAAAGGCAAAATTATTGAGCTTTCCAGTTCTGATTTTCTAATAATAACTGTATAAACATTTGGTGGTAAAATTTTTTCACACTCAATTCCAAGAGAAATTTACTGCAGAAATCCTTACATTCGAATCTTTGTGTATTCTAAAATATCTAAAATCTTTGGAAAAAGAAGTCATAGACAGTTAGTTATTTTATTCCATAATGCTAACGCTCATTTATAATCAAGATGCAGGCTTAAAATAGATTACTGCAAGAACCTTCTAACCACCTCACTCAAGTTTAAATTTCTTCAAGTGGTACACAAGGCCCTTTAGTACCTGCCTTCCCCTTCCTAATCTCTGTTCCATCCCTTCTGATCCCCCCACAAAATGACATTTTACTTCAGGTTTTTAACCTACCGTGCTCTTTCTTCCCTCTAGTCCTTTCTTCCCAGATTTCCCTTACTATATCCAAAACTATCTTTGTGTGGCTTAACTCCTGCATATCCTTCTTGGTCCATTTGAGACACAACTTCCCCCAGGAAGCCTTCTGAGCCATCAAGTCCAGTATAGATATTCTTGCTACGGGCACTATCAGCACCTGACCTGCCCATGTCATATCCCTTGAAAGATTGCATTGCAGTTGCATGTTTGAGCATCTGTCTC